CTTATAATAAATCTCTTTGTTCTAGATATTTATCTGGAAATATATTTATTCATATAACTCTTATAGTCATAATTTATATTTATATAATTTATTATATTTTTAAATATATATTATATATAACAGCACCAATTGAAGATACATATTTGTATTTGTATCTCCACTATCCTATTGGTTCTGTTTCTTTGGAGAACCCTGACTACTGTACCAAGCATAGTAGCATTCTGGGTAGCCCACAGTATCCCAGGGTGATCACTGACATACATGCTACCACTGATCCTTTACTGGCCTCACTTTTTCCTCTCTTTTCTTCCTTTCTTCCTTATCAAATATTTATGACATGGAATTACTTATACTCAGAGATAGGGCCAAGCTTGTCTCCCACAAAGATGAAAGAGTCACACATACTCACCTCAAAGATGCTCCTGAAAGGAAACCAAAACAGATTCAGAACTTGAATAGGAAGCAGGAAAGAATCAGTGTTAAAGTATATTTCTCAAAATACAAATCACCTAGGGTGGGAGTGGGGGCTTGTGGAATTGCAGATTCTCAGGTCCTTCCCAGATGGACTGAATCAAAACATTAGAGATGGGTCTTGAGTTCAACATTTTAATCAAACTTGCATATTTTTTTTTGCTTGTGGTTGCACACAAGTTTGAGAACCAATGCCACAGATATTTAGGAACAAGGACACATGAAGGAGCTGAATTTTAGGAAGCTAAGTCCAGCAGTTTATGTAATATGCACTAAGGGGAGGGAGTGCTGGACACCTGGAGAAGATAAAAGAAGGATGGAGGCACTTGCAATAATCCAGTGTGAGGGCAGAGCCTGGAGGCAGGTCTTGTAGAAGCAAAGCCTGAGACAGGGGTGTGGGTGCCCATGATTAGAGGGAGGACTCAGGAGGAAGAGAGGGACGGAAGCAGAACAGGTCAGGGAAGGAGTGAGATGGCTTCACACCGGCTGCAGTCACACCCCAGCCTGGCCTCACTGGGGGCTCTGGAGCAGGGGCTGCGCTGTAGCATTGATCCACCTTGACTCACAGGCACCAAGTTGATAAAATGGCTATTTCCAGCCAGCACACACAACAGCTAGGAGTGCAACCACACAGTAACATGAATTGGGCAGGACACCTGCAGAGTTATAATACATCAGCCCTGGAACAACACATACCCCTTCAAATTTACTGACAGGCCAAGTTTCAAGCCAAAAATACAATCCCCAAAAGGGTGTCAGTGGCTGGTCAAGGGAGGTATTATTTGCATTAGAAGGAGAAAAGGAATCAGTCCCTAGAGAAGATGCTACTTCTTCAGAATGTGGTGATTTTGTTTGCAAGGATTTTTATTGGTGTTTTTTCTAAGCAAAGTTTACTGGAAAATGCTACAAGAGACCCATGGCAGGGACTGTGGAAAGGAAGAAGGAAGAATTGACTCATGCTGATATTTTACACGTGACTGGCTGGAAAGATAACGGTATCAGTAACGGAAATGGACCACATTCAAGTCTTCTTTTCTGCTTCTCAAATGTTCCTAGAGCCACATCTAAGCAACCAAGGTCTTTCACAAGGGACACAATCTTGAGATCATCAACTCGACTTCCTCTCCCAGTAGCTTCATTAAAAATCACAACAGAATGCTGACAAACCCCCATTACTTCCCAATATAAATGTTAAAACTGCAAGAATCAACCTCTTCACTTTGACATAAACTTCCAGACCTCAAATCTCAGCTGTTTGGGGTAAAGGTGAGCTATTGACACTTGCACAAACCTTTGCCTGGCAGAAAAATTTTAAGTAATCTCTAAAGAATCATTTGAATAAAATGCCAGACCCAGGAAGAAAGAATTATTTCACTCACCACCAGCAGTAATGTCTCCCTCAATCATCTATCCACACACGTCTAGGCTCATCCCTTTTTGGTTTGGAACTGGTCAGGTGTGCAAGGTGAAGGCATGACAAGTCGCTTCAGGAAAAGAAAGGTGTGCAGGCTGAGGTAGGCAGATGGGCTCTGATCTTTATCCCCAGCGGATCCATCGCAGAGCACAAGAACAGCACAGCTCTTTGAGTAACTGGTTTCCATGTAAGCAATACACGACGTGTCACAGACATTCGGCCTCCACTGGGAATTCTTCTGCATTGCTCATTTACAAAACAAGATCCTCTTTAAGACTGGTTGGTGCTTCTTGGTCAATACGAAGAGCATCAGCCCTATCCTCTAACCCTTGAGGGTTTTCATTTAAATCAATCATGACCACCCACTATTATAAAACAGCCTTACTATATCTTGAGTAAAACGCCACTTTTACAACCCTTGGTCTCTACTTTATATTTTTATTATGAGCTTTTCAGATCCTCCTGATATAGATTTAACTTACAATGGTCAATGAAAACCAATACACATGAATAAAGACAAGAACAATTCAGAACCCAGATGTCATTTGGCTTTGGCTCCGTCCAATGCCAGCTGAGTCCATTTTTCTTGTCCTAATTTCTCTGCTAAACGAGTCCCTGAAACTTGTTGCAGAGACATGAATAAAATGCATGATTCAGGCTTCCCATCTCCTTTACCTCCTGCCTTATGGAACCAGAAACCCCTTTTGTCCTCCATCAATCCCTGGCTAAATAATATTCCCACCTGCATGCACCAATCTTTGCTGAGGGCTTTGGGGGTCCCAGACGTGACCAGCTTCACCCTTTTATGCATGTTTGCTTTATTGCTTAATGTTATGACTTAATGCTACTTAATGGAAACTCTGGCTGGTGGGTCTGCAGAGCAATGCTTCAGAAAGGGGTCTTGATGGATCATCACCAAATGCTACAGGACTAGGGCTGGGGCTAAGGAGCCTCATCCAGCCAGGAAGTCCAGGTAGCCCTACCTACCCTGTTTCTCCTGAGTCTCTCCACTCAGGCCTGAGACTGACCAGTTGCTGTGGCAAGCGTGTCATCATTGCATCCCATCTCTCCAGTGACATCAGGCCTCAGTTCTTTTTATTTTTTTAATTGAGATTGGGTCTCACTATGTTACCCAGGCTGCCCTCCAACTCCTGGGCTCAAGCAATCCTCCCACCTCAGCCTCAGCCTCTCTAGTAGCTGGAACTGCAGGAATGCACTACCATCTCTGGCTCAAGACCTCAGTTCTTGGAATGGGAGGAGTCTGGAAAGCGGAAAAGGTCCCAACCACTGCCCTTTCCTGGAAGTGCAACTGAAGCCCTCCCCTCCACCTTATTCTTCAAAATGTTCCCCTAATTCTTCCCAGTAATTTCCCCCTAGGAATCATCAATGTGTTTTGTGCTACTCCCAGTACTTAAATCACTTGGTATCCCCAGTGTAAGCTCTGATCCATAGTACCCCTCAATCCTCCTGAGCTCCACTGAGCCCTAAAAGTCACTCTATTTTCCATCCAATTTGCCATTTTCATTTTCCCCTCCTACTAGAAGTATAATAAATTCTAATATTTAACAGATACAGAAGAACCTATAAAAGAGCAATATGGAGTTAGCATATTGGCTATTGGCTGATATAAACAACACAAGGAACCCTCAGAAAAACATGAGGTATGATGTGATCGTAATGGGTGTCGCCTACAAAGAGCTTTCTCTAAGCCAGGTGCATAACACCTCGGGCGCCTTTGCTTCTCCTTATACTCATTCACCCCTCCAAGGGCAGCTGGGCCAGTCATTCCTGAGGCTTTGCCTTCCATCTGCAATCAGATCCCCAGATGTACACCTTTGCCCCCAATCTCACTCATGCTCCAGCCCCAGTCCCAAACGGCCTTCTCTATCTGACATCCCATAACCAACCGCTGCGGCACAGCATTCCAGATTCACACCCACCTCTCCCCCAGTCATCCGCTTCTGCATTCCCCGGTCCATCACTATGGATGGAATTATCCAAGGAAAAACTCTGGATTCCTTCTTATTCTTCTCTCTCCCCACCACCTGCAATTAGTCTCCAAGTCTTGGGGACTCTTTGAATAATATGTAACCCATACCTTCAGTGCTACTGCATTCAAGAGAGCCTTGTACTTGTCTTCAACTGGTCCTCTTGTCTACATCCAGCACCCCCAAGCCCCCTCCACAGTGCTAGGACTCATGGGGCCATGTAGCTGGTGGCAAATGTAACTTCCAAGGACAGCCCCTCAATCTGTATCCCATCTGACATGCTCTTCATAGAGTGTGATGTCAACATTCCTCCCACCGAGATGGGGGTCTGTGTAGAGCAGAACCTGATTACCATCCCAAATGGCATGCAGCAGAAGGGATGCTGTGTGACGACTGAGGCCTGGTCATGCTAGGGGACATACAGTGCCCACTGGGCTCACTTGTAGGCTCTTTCCCTCTCACTCCATCTGTTTCCATGTGACCCCCGCATCGCGTCTACAGCTCTAGAACCCAGCTTCACACTCTGAAGAATCCCAGTAAAGGACCCTGGAGATCTGCAAGGAGCCAGCATCAAGTGAGAGAAGCCTCTGGCTGCTGAGTCATTCCTGCCTGCTAGCTGAGGCCACACATGTCCTGGAGCTGAGACAAACCATCTCTGCCCTTTTCTGTCTAAATCTCTGAGCCACAGAACTTGTGAGCATAAGGAATGGTTATTTTTTTGCTCTTGTTGTGGGGCAATTTGTTTATAGCCCATAGTACCTGGAGCCTAATTCAGCTGCATTAAACCCTTCTCCAACCCATCTTCCCAGGATGATGCTGCAGTTGGGCTGCCCAGGCCCTCCACAGAGTGACCCCTGCCCACCTGCCCTGCCCTAGCTCTAGCAGCAACTCACCTCTGTCCCTGGCGTGTTCCTCCAATAAACCAGCTGCAGGTCTCCACACCACAGGCCTTCTGAGCCTCAGTTCCTGGCTCCTTCCCCTTCCCTCCACCCTGCTACTGGGAGAGGAGACCCAGTCCAGGAGTCACCTCCTTCTTGACTATGTCCTCTTAATCCCCCCATACATGTGCCCACATGCCCATAAACACATGCACATGCACACACATGTCCATATACCCATGTACATACCTGGTCATGCTAGGGGACATACAGTGCCCACTGGGCTCACTTGCAGGCTCTTTCCCTCTCACTCCATCTGTTTCTGTGTGACCCCCGCGTCGCGTCTACAGCTCTAGAACCCAGCTTCACACTCTGAAGAATCCCAGTAAAGGACCCTGGAGATCTGCAAGGAGCCAGCATCAACAACCAGCAAGTGAGAGAAGCCATGTACATACACAAACACATACACATGCCCACTTGCTCAAGCACACACATACACATGCATTCACACACATGCCCATATGCCTATGCACACATACGCTCATTTGCTCATGCACACAAACACATGCTCATATGCCCAAGCACACACACAAACATGCACTCACACATAAGCCTATATGCCTGTGCACACACACTCACACACATGCCCATATGCCCATGCACACACACACGTCCATTTGCTCATGCACATGTGCATGTGTGTGCGTGCATGGGCATATGGACTTGTGAGCATATGGGCATGTGCGCACACACACACACACCCATATACCCATGCATACTCATACATGCCCATAAGCCCATGAGCACAGTCTCACACACATGCTCATACACCTAGGTGCATACACATGTGCACACTCACACACATGCCCATAGTTACACACACACACACACATACACACACATGCCCACAGGCCCATACTTACTCAGCTGCACTGTTGGGGTCCAGCACATCTGCGGGGGGACTACCGACCTGCAGGAGTCCCCGAGACCGCCAACGTAGATGTCTCGTTCAACCTGAGGGAGAGAGTGCGCGGAAATGAAAGAAAAGAGAAAAGCGGAGTCTGGAGGGCTGGCTTAGGCTATGTCCAAGCAGCAATTTTATTTTTGCAATACGTTTCAATATATACTTTTCTGAAGTCAAAGTTGTTTACACCAGATAAACGTACTTAAGTTACAGTAAGCAAGTTACGCCCAGTAAGTTAATCCCATTAAGTAGGTTATGCCCAGTCAGTAGGTTACTTCCAGTAAGTAGGTTACGCCCAATAGGTCAAGGTAAGTAAGTTACAGTCACGCCCTGTAAGCTATGGTAAGTTACAGTTACACCCAGTAAGTTACGGTAAGTAAGTTACCAAGTGTAAATACTTAAGTTAATATTTTACAATGAAGGTAACAAGGGTCCAAAATGAACACAATCAAGCAATAAACCATAAGGAGCTGAAAGTGGACATAATGCCTCCCAAGTCCTCATATCCATAAAGTAATGTCTGTTAATTATTTAGAATAACATAGTCCCTCTCTCGGTTTCTGCTTTCCCTCAGCTCAACTCCCCCAACGGGGGATCTGTGTCCAGGCTCAAGCTCACCATATGGCGAGGCCCATTTCCCAGGGGCCTCACACGGGAGCAATCCCCACAGATTCCCTCACTGCACCACGTGGCTCTTGGAGGGTGGGAGTGGTGGCTGGTATGCCTGCACTGAGCAGGTTGCACATGGCAGGGGGTACATCCTGCAGGGTTTCAGGAATGGACGAATGCACACTTACTTCTATGTCTCACTCTGTGATTGCACTTCGACTTTTAAATCCACCCACTTCCTCTACAGGGTGGGAGAGTTCATCTCATGAACCTTGGAATCAGACCTACCATATCCTCCCTCCAGCTCACCTCTACAACCCCAAAACTGCCAACATCAGCTCTTGGAACTCTATATGGGGATGATCTGGCCCTCAGTATCTGCTAGGTACATGGCAAGAGGTACTGGGAGAGGGGCTGAAACCTCAGGAGTGGCCCTCAGCCCATGACAGATGAGAAGTTGGCTAGTCAATGTCCAGCGTTTCTGTGTCTGAGGGGCGTGCTACACTCTCTCCCAGAGCCTCTCAGTGGGATGAGCCCAAGGAGGTCACACAGGTTGCCTGCTCATTAGACACCCCCAGTTGCCTTCTTTTTTTTTTTTTTTTTTATTTGAGATGGAGTCTCACCGATACCAAGGCTGGAGTGCAGTGGCACGATCATGGTTCACTGAAACCTCTGCCTCCTGGGTTCCAGCAATTCTTCTGCCTCTGCCTCCCAAGTAGCTAGGATTACAGGCGCGAACCACCACACCCTCTAATTTTTGTATTTTTAATATAGATAGGGTTTCACCATGTTGGCCGGGCTGGTCTCAAACTCTTGACCTCAGGTGATCTGCCCACCTTGGCCTCCCAAAGTGTTGGAATTACAGGCATGAGCCACCATTCCCGGCCGGCCTTCTTTCCCTTCCCTGTCTGCTTTCCCTCTCCCTGCACTGCAAAATGAAGGTCAGGGAATGCATTCTGAGTTCAGGAAGTTCATTCTTAGGTCAGGGAGTTCATTCTGAGGTCACGGAGTTCATTCTGAGGTCAAGGGTCCACTCTGAGGTCAGAAAGTTCATTCTTAAGACAAGAAGTTCATTCTGAGGTCAGGCAATTCATTCTTAGATTGAGGAGTTTATTCTTAGGTCAGAGGATTCATTCTTTGGTCAGGACATTTATTCTTAGGTTGAAGAGTCTATTTTTAGGTTAAGGAATCAATTATTGGGTCGGGGGTTCAATCTTAGGTTGGGGGTTCATTCTTAAGTCAGGGGGGTCCATTCTGAGGTCAGAGAGTCTATTCTGAGGTCAGGAAATACATTCTGAAATCAAAAAGTTCATTCTTAGGTCCAGGAATTCATACTGAGATCAGAGAGTTTATTCTAAGGTTGAGGAGTCCATCCAGAGGTGGGAGGTCTTATTCTTAGGTCAGGGAGTCCATTCTGACATCAGGAAGGCCTGACCTAAAGCAGTGTTTAACTGGAATCCCAGTGTGGCCACTTAATAGCTGAGTGGACTTGAGCAAGCCAGGACCTCCAAGTCCACATGATGACGCCATCGGGTAAGCTCATACCCTGGGCAAATCCCACACTACTCAGCACCTGCTCTGCAGCAGAGATACTGAGAGTGCCTGTGTGTGGTGGATGCTCAGTGCTCCATCCAGATCGTGCTCAAGGGCCAGGGTACTCCTTTCCCCACTGAGGGCTGAGCCCCAAGGATTCTGTCCCCACTGGTCTAATGAGCAGCCTATGGCAGGGACACGGGGAGCCCTTGCCTCAACGCCGCATGTTTCCAAAGCTCCAGGCTCCCAGGGGCCAGTGGAGGCCTCTGTTCCAGCATCAAAGCCTCAGTGCTCCCTTACCATGAGCACACACTCACACACCTACAAAACCCCTCCCCCATGAACCCCGACATGCAAATCTCCATCTCAGTGTCTGTTTCTAGGGGACCCAACCTGATACGTACTTCACAATGTTGCTGTGATGATCAAGAGAGAATAATCATAAACAGCAAAATGGTAAAACATTAGCAGTGGTCGGAGTAGCATTTTGTTATCATCAACACTTTCTCTTCTTTTTTTCTTGAGATGGAGTTTCGCTCTTGTTACCCAGGCTGGAGTGCAATGGCGTGATCTCGGCTCACCGCAACCTCCGCCTCCTGGAATCAGGCAATTCTCCTGCCTCAGCCTCTTGAGTAGCTGGGATTACAGGCACGCACCACCGTGCCCAGCTAATTTTTGTATTTTTAATAGAGACGGGGTTTCACCATGTTGGCCAGGATGGTCTCGATCTCTTGACCTCATGAACCACCCGCCTCAGCCTCCCGAAGTGCTGGGGTTACAGGTGTGAGCCACCGCACCCGGCTTATTGTCAACACTTTCATCATCAGGGTTTTATGGCCTGGACTCTGGCCTGTGGGTCTCAACTCTCCCATGGCCTCCTGCAGCCCTCTCTCCCCTACCCCTCCATAACACATAGCTTTATAAATTAAAAAATCCCTAATGGTCCCCAAACTGGTTGTGGCTCCCCAGTGTTTGGGGGATTTCAGAGGGGCCAGGGAACAGTTTGGCCTCTACAGCCACTTCCAAATTTCACTTTTGGCTTGTTCATGCTGTGCTGATGCTTCAGGAGTTGACTCTCAAGTAGCTACCAGCCACCAAAGTGGCACAGGCTGGCCTGAGGGTCACAAGCAGACCCACTGGACCATGAGTAACAGAGGTGAGCCGGATGCTTGGCTTCTCCTCACACTTCAGACCTGCTAAGGTAGGCCAGGGTGTGGGCACGCTGAAAGAACACTCTTGTTTTCAGTCTCTTTTAACTGGTGATGCCAAGAAGAAACTTTAAACAACAAAAACAAAACAAAACAAAACTGGCCAGGCACAGTGGCTCACCCCTGCAATCCAGCACTTTGGGAGGCTGAGGCAAGTGGATCACTTGAGGTCAGGAGTTCAAGACCAGCCTGGCCAACATAGTGAAATCCCATCTCTACTAAAAATACAAAAATTAACTGGGCATGGTGGCAGGTGCCTGTACTCCCAGCTACTCAGGAGTCGGAGACAAGAGAATCACTTCAACCCGGGAGGTAGAAGTTGCAGCGAGCTGAGATTGTGCCACTGCACTCCAGCCTGGGCGACAAGAGCGAGACGCTGTGTCAAAAATAAATAAATAAATAAATGAGCTGGGCCAATGTGTAGTTTGAGGCAGTATTTCTCTGAGCCCTTTATACTCTATGGATAAAATCTCCTGATGAGTGGCCCCCACATAAAATCTCCTGATAAGCGGCCCCCACGAGTGGTCCAGATGAGGCAGAGCCTGGAGGCAGGGAACCTATGGCTGTTTCACACTGACTTCCTAGAACTAAATTGAAAGGAAAACCCTAACTTTCCACACCTAAGTAACAAAAGGATCAGAAACTACTTCCTTTGCAAACCACCTTTTCTGTGCAGCAGGTGGAAAATTAAAAGTACCTCTGATGGGTTGCTTTCTGCAGCCACAATGCAGATGATGTCTGCATAGGAGGGTGACCTCTGATTGGTCAGACTGACTGCAGGCTGCCTCTGATTGGTCAGACTAACTGCAGGCCGCCGCTGAGTGGTCAGACTGACTGCAGGCCGCCTCTGAGTGGTCAGACTGACTGCAGGTCGCCTCTGACTGGTCAGACTGACTGCAGGCCGCCTCTGAGTGGTCAGACTGACTGCAGGCCGCCTCTGATTGGTCAGACTGACTGCAGGCTACCTCTGATTGGTCAGACTGACTGCAGGCCGCCTCTGATTGGTCAGACTGACTGCAGGCCGCCACTTCATTGAACGGGTGAACACCAAGTGGCCAATGGGAAACCTCTAAGGGGCATTTGGACTCTGTAGGTTCCATACCCTGGCCCTTGAGCTCCTGCTCTGCCCGTTCCCACACCATGGAGTGTATTGTCATTTTCAGTAAATCTGTTTTTGTTCTTTCGTTGCTTCATTCTTTCCTTGCTTTGCTGTGTGTTTTGTCCAATTCTTTGCTCAAAACGCCAAGAACCTGGACAACTTGCAGTCAAGACCAAGACCCTCCTCTGGTAACACAGATACTTCACAGCTACTGAGGGATGCTATGGAGCTTCCTGGGGCCAGGGTCCTTGTTGGATCCACAACTTCCCTAGTGGCCCCAGCACTCTGTGACCCTCCACATGGCAGCCTCCTCCCAGGAGAGACTTGTAGACTGCATTAGCTTCATGCCAGCCCACTGTGTGTCTGCTCATACAGCATGATGGCTGAGTTACTTACACAAAGCCTCTGCTCCCCATGGGCCGGAATGCCCTTGGAAGAGGAGCACCAGCGTGCCCCAGGTCAAACACAGGGCAGCAACCTCATTAATCTCATCCTCAAGGTCTTTGCTTCTCTCGTCTGGGACTTCTTCCACCCAAATCTAGCCTCACTGCTAGATCCTGAGAAGACACCATTTCTGCACTCCACAGAGCCCTTCCAGCACGTTATTTTTCCTCCAAACTGCTGCGGTGGCTTTGGTTTGGCCTGCTCACCCAGCACTCTGTCCTTTACCTGGGATCTGACTTAACTCTACTAGTCACAGAGGTGGTTGCAAGAAGGGGCTTACCAATTAAACTATTTCTCGCATTGTCACAGCTTAGTGCCTGCTGCAGCTCTGGCTGCATAATGAATATGCATTTGCAAAGGGCACAGCGGAGCCAGCTGAAGACCCATCATTGCACGTCTGACAACTGATGTTTGCTGTCACTGGGGCCTCACTCAGCTCCTCCCTGAATAAGCCTGTCCATATCCTCTTTCCAGCTGGCCTAGCCCACGTTCCTCACAGCATGGTAGCTGCATTCAAGGGTGAGCAGAAAGAGAGAGAGACAGAGGTCTGGGGAGCTGGGGAGAGAGAGAGGGAAAACAAAAGGAGAGGGGGTGAGCACAGCTGAGCTGGGTGGAAGCCACATCACTTTCTATGACCCAGCCTGGGAACTCCTGTCTGCCCAGATTCAAGGGGAGGAACATAGACACCACCTCTCAGTGAGAGTAATGTCAGTCACATTGTTAGAGCAGGAGGTCTGGGAGATCTACAACTGTGCAGACACCTTTGGGCAATGGAATCTGCCACCTGTGACCTGCACTCAGTGCCTACCTGAAGGTAGGTGCCGTGGGTGCCTCAAGTCATAGCAATCCTTTGATCTCGACAAAGCCGTGAGGCAGGGTAACTAACTTGCCCAAGATTATGCAGCTGGTAAGTGGCAGAGCCAGGATTTGAACCCAGGATGCTCAGCTCCAGAGGTTTCTATGGATTTGGGCCCGTTCTCATAAATTTTGAGAGGTAATTGCATTCCTTATGTATAAAAGGCAATGAGCCAAAAAGGACAATAGAAGAACAGAATACTAGAAAAATGGACCAGTGAGGAACATGAGATCATGAAAGTAATCTTAGAAAATAAAGATATAATTGGCAAGATAAGATACAAAATAAGTCAGTAGAAAGGATACAAAATAAAGTTGTTTGTTTGTTCTTAATTCCCAGGGCATAGGCAAAAAGAAAAAAAAAATGAGAGAGAGGGGCCAAAATAGCAAGAACAAAAGAAAGAGAAGAGAAAGTAAATGGGAGAAAGCCATCCAAAAAAAATAATAAACTACCATTTCCAGAGGGTGAAGGAAAGGAAGGATCATCAGGGAATGACTCCAGGGGTAAAGGGCCTTTCAAGCAACGAGGGGTGTTTGGAAAGGCAGACCCACCAGACGATGTGATCAAGGCACATTATTTCGTTAACAGCAAAAGCAACAAGTATAAAAACAACTAGGAACTCCAAGAAAACTAAGATCCTTCAAGATACAGCCAAATCCTCACCCCCCTGAGTGCCCTCCAGGGGCCCACAGCCGGGAGCAGGAATGGAAACTGGGGATGTTCCACCTGGGATGACCCTCTGATGTCACAGAAGGGGAGGGACCATGGGGAGGGGCAGGATCTTCTCAATGACCCAGCCCTCACTGGTCCTAGGCACTGGCTGCCAAGAAAGGGCTGCCCGGGGCCCTGTGCCGGCACCCTGAGCTGATCCCCCACCCTCCATCGGGCTCGTCCCATCATACACTGTGCATTCATCATCTCGGAACCATCCCAGGACAAAGTGCCAAAGCCAGCTAGCCATTAGTGAGGGAATCTGTGAGGATCGCTCCCGTGTGAGGCCCCTAGGAAATGGGCCTCGCCATACGGTGAGCTTGAGCCTGGACATAGATCCCTGGTTGGGGGAGTCGAGCTGAGGGAAAGCAGGAACCGAGAGAGGAACTATATGTTATTCTAAATAATTAACAGACATTACTTTATGGATATGAGGACTTGGGAGGCATTGTGACCACTTTTGGCTCCTTATGGTTTATTGTTGATTGTGTTCATTTTGGACCCTTGTTACCTTCATTGTAAAATATTAACTTAAGTATTTACACTTGGTAACTTACTTACCGTAGCTTATAGGGCATGACTGTAACTTACTTACCTTGACCTATTGGGCGTAACCTACTTACTGGAAGTAACCTACTTACTGGGCATAACTTAGTGGGCGTAACTTGCTTACTGTAACTTAAGTACGTTGATCTGGCGTAAACAACTTTGACTTCAGAAAAGTATATAAGGAAACATATTGCAAAATTAAAATCGCTGCTTGGACATAGCCTAAGCCAGCCCTCCAGACTCCACTTTTCTCTTTTCTTTCACTTCCGCGCACTCTCTCCCTCAGGTTGAACCAGACATCTACGCTGGCGGTCTCGGGGACTCCTGCAGGTCGGTAGTCCCCCGGCAGACGGGCCAGACCCCAACACATTAGTCCATAATGCTCACCAGGAAGCATTTTTGAGACAGCACCTCAGAAATTTGAAACAGCACCAAACTAAAAGCTGTGCCGCTTTAGAGAGGCAGAGACATCTACCTTCCTGAGCGGTTTCTAAAATCTCCTAGGGAAAAACAAAAAGTCTCTCTAAGCAACCTTGGACTTTTTGACATACCAAACGTTCCATAGAGGGAAGAACACTGGTTTCTTGATCGGAAAAGAGGCAGCACAGCGGCGCTTGTCAAAGGCTAGATCGCCCTCGTGTGGCTGCTTCTGTGAATGGCAATTCAGAATCGAAGAGTAAGATCAGACAACTTCAAAAACAGGAAAACTGGCTAGGCGTGGTGGCTCACGCCTGTAATCCCAGCATTTTGGGAAGCCGAGGCAGGCAGATCATCTGAGATCAGGAATTTGAGACCAGTCTGGCCAACACAGTGAAACCCCATCTCCACTAAAAACACAAAAATTAGCCGGCATGGCGGCACATGCCGGTAGTCTCAGCTACTCAGAGGCTTAGGCACGAGAATTGCCTGAATCCAGGAAGAGGTTGCAGTGAACCTAGATCTTGCCACTGCACTCCAGCCTGGGTGACAAAGCAACACTCTGTCAAAAAAAAAAAAAAAAAACTAAGCTCAACAGTCAAGCCTGAACTAATTGCGTAAGAGTGTAAAATGATAATTGATTTCATTAAATAAGCTGCGGAGCACTTTCAACCCAGGCTCTTTTATTCTCTAGTTAAGAGCCGTTGTTTTAAAGTGTGGTCCCTGGGCATCCTGGATGCCTGGAAATTGGTTAGAAATGCAAATTCTGGCCTTGCCTGGGTCCTGCTGCAACAGAAACTTAGAAGCTAAGGCTCTGGCACCCTTGTGTTAGCAAGGATTCTGATGCTCCCTCACTTTGAGAACTGAAGTTAGCATTAGATTTGTTACTGCCTGGCAGCAAAAGAGAGCGGATAGCCAAGGCGTTGACCCTTCAAGGGACTAGGAAAACCCATCTGGACATTCTTCAGGAGTTTTAATAGCGACAGAAAGTCCTTTCTTTGCTCCCTGGCTTAGGCAGAGTCCCCAGCGGCAGCCCCTGAGAAAATAATTGCACTACAAGCCATTTATTTGAGATGTGATCCCAGGGGCACCTGTTGGGGTGCAGGGATGTGAGGCAGGCAGGGAGAAGAGAAGCCATCATGGAGCAGCACTGCAGGTGCCTGCGCTCAGTCTCTGGGGAGCACCAAGATGGTGCAGGGTGTGCCTCAGAGGTGTCCTGCTTGAGGAGTTGGAAGCTGGGGTATTTATTCTCCAGTTCCCATCTGTCCTTATTGAGGTACACTCTTCGGTGTTAACTCTGGGCATTCCTGCCCTGACCTTGGTAAGGTCCAAGACTGTGGCCAGAAAACCCTGGTCTGGAAAGCAGTGAAGAGGGCCCCTCACTGCCTGCTCCACTCAGCTTTCCCAGGCTGCAAGGGGAGAGGGAAAATGCTTGCCATCCACTTCTGAGTCCCAAGACTGATTCCTTATTCAAAGCCCACTCATCAATCAAGGCCTCTCTCAAGTCCCATCTTTGCCAAGCACCTCAGCGTCTCCCAATTGGGAGTGGCCTCTCTTCACACACAGAGCAGCCCTCAGATCCATGCATCACCCAAATGTCTCTGCTGACGCTGGACACACCAGGGCCTCGCCCTGAGCCCACACAGCCTGGCTGCCCCCACCTCAAGACGCTTCCACTGATGACGAACACTGCGGAGAGAGCGAGAAATGAATGCCACAAAAGGGGCACAGGAATGTTCAGGGAGGAGGAACACCGCAGACCTTTCCGGAAAGTGGGCATGGCTTTAAAGAGAAGGTGGTATCTGAGCCAGTCCCTGAAGGATGGCGGGAATGTGTGCAGAAACGGGGCAAGGTCCTCAAGGCAGAGAGGGCAGCCTGAGGGCTGGAGCAAGCGCCACGGATTCCGCGTGGCCGAAACGTGGGACAGATAGAGAATGGTGGAAACTCAGCTCCTGTCTCATTATGAAGGGCCTCGGGCCTGGTACCCTAGTCTGGGACATGCTGCAGAGTGACAGCTGTGCCCAGCCAAGTCCCTTTGAGGAGGATGTGTGGATTCAGGATCAGAAAAGCCAGTACCCGGTTAAGAGAGGAAGAGAAGATGGGAGTGGAGTTGGGGTAATCGCGACACAAGACAGAAGCTGCACCCACTACTCAGGCATCGCTCAGCTATCCATATGCCAGCATTAGGAAGCAGGTACCCCGATTTTACAGACTCAGAGGGTTCTATCATTCACAGGAGGTCACGCAAGTCTATCTGGATCCAACTTCACGTGATCTTTCTGCTCTGTCCACCTGGATTGTTCAAATGGCCCCAGAGAAAGACAGGTGAGCCCAGACTCCAGCCCCACAGTAGGAAGTGCAGGGGTCTGAGGGACTCAGCAAGGCTGAAATAAGTATGAGCCTCAGAGCGTGAGAGGAATGGCTGGTCCCTGCCCTCAGTCCTGAGTCAGGAAGAAAGGACAGAGACGCTGGCCCCAGCCCTCAGCACTCAGTCAGGAGAAAGGAACATACAGCAGCTGGGAGACAAAGCAACTAGCAGCAGAGGAACCCAGTGGCCATGAAGTCACAAAAGTCACCTCCAGCCACTTGGACCACAGGACACACCTTTGGGCAGTTGGCATGTCAACTGAGCCTCGAGGAAAGAGAATATTTTTCTGTTTAATAATTTATTGAGGTGAAGTTCAACATAAAATGGACTATTTTAAAGCAAACAGTTCAGTGGTATTTGGTAGTTTCACAATATTGTCCGACCTCTATCAGTTCCAGGACATTTCCATGATTCAAAAGCCTGGTGTCCAGGACAGTGCTTCCCATTCCTCCTTGCCCACAGCCCCTGGCAAACACCAATTGGCATTCTCTCTCTGCAGATTCACCCACTCTAGATATTCCACGGAACTGGAATCTTACAACACGTGACTTTTGTGTCTGGCTTCTTTCACTCAGCATGTTTTCAAGGTTCATCTACATTGCAATATGTATCAGTACTTCTCATGTATGTATTTATTGATTTTAGAAATGGGGTCTCTGTTGCCCAGTGGCATGATCATTGCCTACTTCAGCCTTCAACTCCTAAGCTCTAGAGATCCTCCTGCATTATCTTCCCAAAGAGCTAGTACTATAGGTGTGACCCACCACACCTGGCAATTATTTTATCTATTTATTTTTAATTTATTTTTTTCTTAAGGATGTTGAATATTGGCCCCTACTCCCTTCTAGCTTGTAGGGTTTCTGCCGAGATACATATATTTTTTTATTTTTGTGGAGCCTAGGTCTCATGATGTTGCCCAGGCTGGTGTGGAACTCCTGGCCTCAATTGATCCTCCTGCCTCAGCCTCTCAAAGCACTAGGATTACAGGGATGAGCCACCACACCTAGCCAGTGCTTCATTTTTCATGGCTGAATAGTACTCCACTGTATGGATATACCACATTTTGTTTTTTCATTCATCCATTGGACATTTGGATTGTTTCAATTGTTGGCTATAATGAACAATCATGAATATGCCTCTGTATACCTATTTTCAATTCTTTTGGGTATTTACCTAGAAGAATTGCTAGGTCATATGGCAGCTCTAGGTTGAATTTTTTTTTTAATTATTTTTCACAGTGGCTGAACCATATTCCCATAAGCAATGCACAAGGATTCCAATTTCCTCACATTCTCACCAAAATTTGTTCTTTTCCATTTTTTGATTCTGTCATCTTAAGATTGCAGAGTTGGCACCTTATTGGGGTTTTGATTGCAAGTCCAGAGAAGTGCACTCCTGGTAAACAAAGCAGCAAAGGCCATTGTTCCCTTGGGGTCTTGTGTTTGTAAGTGCCATGCCTTCAGCTCGAAGCTCAGCTCATTGAAAGCAGGGATCACACATCTTACCTTTTCTTTGTGTCATCAGCTCTGAGCACCCATGGCTTAATGAGGTTCACAGCCCCTTTCCACTCAGATTTACAGTTGGCCTGCATGGTTGGGTCAATAGGAATAGCCACGTCCAAGGCTATGCCCAAGGTCACCATGGTGTTGCTTGTGAAGGACACTGAATGTGCCGGATCCTCCAGAGGTTGCTTGTGCAGCCTCTTACAATGACTGCTATGATTGACACTTTAGTGCCTGTCTGAGGCTTGCTACTTCCCTTCTCAGAGGGCTCCAGCTGATTTCCAAATGCCTAAGGGGTTTTTTCCAGTTCCTTGGAAGAAAAGATTCTCTGCCCCTCTTGCCAGACAAGAAAATGACACCCTCCCCAGCAGCCCTCAAGTCTCAAGAGTTGTATGTAAATTCCCCACTTCCTACCCCCTCCCTGCTATGTAATGTCACCTTTAAGAGAAAGGCTCCCAGCACACAAGGTGAACAAATTAAAATGTTCACCACCCCCAAAAAAGGGTGGGGTAATTTACGGGGGCAAATGTGGGCAGGGCTGGTGGGAAGGGACTGTGGTCACCAGACTCGTGTGGGGTATCTGGTCTCCCTGGTGATCACGTTCCTTCCTGGGAACATAGACCCTTGAGGCCCTGTCAGCTTGTGCCCTTGGTCACTGGGATCAGGCCATCGACTGTGTTTCCTTGTTCTGACCCATGCTCTTACAGCCACCTGCACCGGCTCACACAGAGAACACAAGCCACTTAGTCCCTGAGAAGTTGGTTCTGGCTGTAGGTGAACTAACTGACACCCCCTCTGGAGTGTGGACTTGTGAGCTTGTTCCTGTGACTGTCCCTGACCAATGGATCCATTTTCAGGGCTCAGGGGAAAGTCAGCCTCAGGACTGCATTGAGTTCTTTAAGGCATCGCTATATAAGGCCTTGAGGCGCCCTATTTTCTTTCTCTTTTCCTTTTGTTTCTGAGACAGTGTCTTGCCTTGCTGACCAGGCTGGAGGGCAATGGCGTGATCTCAGCTCACTGCAACGTCTCCCTCCCAAGTTCAAGCAATTCTTTCCTCAGTCTCCTGAGTAGCTGGGATTACAGGTGCCTGCCACCACGCCTGGCTAATTTTTATATTTTTAGTAGAGATGGGATTTCATCATGTTGGCCAGGCTGGTCTCTAACTCCTGACCTCATGATCCACCCACTTCGGCATCCCAAAGTGCTGGGATACAAGCATGAGCCATCACACCTAGCCAAGGGGCCCTATTTTCAAGTTTCCACTAGCAGCAAGTGGCAAACCCAGGTCACACATAAATTAAAAAGGAGTTATTGCCAGTACTAGGCTATTCCCTGGAGCCTTGGGGCAGGACCACAACGAGGACTTGGAGAAGGAAAGTGATGAGTAAGACTCTGTCTTGCAGAATAGCAGAGCACCGTAAAACTTAGTGGGTTAACACAACCATTATTTTGCTGACAAATCTGCAATTTGGGTGTGGTGTGACAGGGTAGGCTCATTTCTCTCCAAGCCATGCCAGCTGGGTACCCAACCTGGGACCAAGGTGGCTCACACAAGTCACTCACACAACTGGTTACCGAGCACGTGTTGCTGCTGGGTGGCTGAACTGGAGCTGGGCTTTGCTTGCAGCCCAACGCTGCGCTCCAAGGACATGTTGGAGAGCAGCACCGGCTGCATATCCTGTTAGAGGTCAAGCTTGACAGCCATGTAACACCGTTTAGCCCGAGCTCACACAGTCACAAAAGCCTGCCTGATCAAGGGAGGGGCTCAACACCATCTCCTGGTGGGGGGTGGCAAGTAAGGTTCTAGATGAGCACATGCGACCAGAAACTTTTCTGCGGCCATTTTCAGGAAATATAATCTGCCACAGTAAGGCATCAAGGCAATCATTCTCTATAGCTCATTGTGCGCATGTGAGTGTCCATGTGTGCATATGTGTGCACGCATGTCTTACTCCAGCTCTGCCCTCTCTCTCTCCGGTCACATGGCCTTCGCCTCTGCTTCATCCTCTGTGCTCACGGCCTCAGTTCTTCCTGCCTTCTCAGACTCCCCACTCCTTCCTCTGGGAACAGCTCCTCCACTTTACTTCTTTTGAGAAACTTCCTCCCTCGGTGGTTTTGCTGGGACTGTTCCTCAGGCCACTCGTCCCTCCTGGGCAGCAGAGGGGTGGCATGTGACTGAAGTTGAGCCAATCCTGAGAATCTGACTTTAGCAGAGATTCCCAGGTGCTGGTCACTGGTCACAGCTCTGTCAGTTCAACTCAGCCCCTGAAGCACCCACTGCCCAGCTCTTGTTCCCAGACTCAAGGAGCCGCCTTACTAGTGCCTTCTGCAGGCTCTGCAAGCATCCTGTAGTCTTCCATTAAACACTGATAAATATGCATATTTAGTTCCAACCCCACACAGAGGCTTTGCAGCCATCTGACCTTTCCCACAATTTCAGATGGCTGGTGGCTAAGCTGGGAAGAGGCCTGAGATCCAAACCAGAAATGATCCCTACAAGCTTCTCAGACAAATGGCATAACTGCAGGCTGGGCAAACGCTCCAGATGGCGCTTCTTTGATGTACTGCCATTTAATATCTATAGCGTCCACATCCCCATTTTACAGAGGTAGTAACTGAGGGGCAGAGAAGGCAGAGCTCAGATTTTGCAAAACATTATCTGACCTCATAGAGTTTGCTCCTTCAGTGAGCCTCAGAATCTCTTCAAAAGTCAGGTCCCCAATTGACCTCCCAGAAATGCAGCCCCAGCTCACTCTGAACTGGCAGTGGCTCAGATGATCCTGTTAAGGCTGAGAGACAGAGAAAAAACAGAAGTGTTTTTGGTGGCAATGCCTTAGAGTCACAACTGCTTTTCTGTCACTATAGATCAACTGGCTCCAAGTCACGCAGCCTTTCATGGCAAGCAAATGCTGTTAAGATCCGGCTCCAGAGAACCACATTGACAATGAAGGCAAACATCAATCCTGTGTTTACAGACGTAAAGATCCTTAAGTCAAGCTTGTCGTCAGAGCTGCCAAGGACTCTGCATGTGTGACCAGATGTGCCCTTCCTCCCTGGATGGGCTCCACGCTGCACATGGGACCGCTGGCTCCACAGCTGCTTAAACCACTGGGCTCATCTTCAGAAGGTGCCCATGCGATTTGGTGACAAATCCCACCAATTTGCCAATACACTTCTTCCAAGTTTAAAAGCCAGTCACTGGAGGGACTGTTGGCAAGTAAGGAAGCTGCAGTAGAGGCAGATGTCAAAGCATGATCCTGCTTTCTTAACGCTTTCTGGATGCTACTTCTTGCTCGGCCCCGTATGAAGCACTTAGCATGCGTTGTGTCCCTTGCTCCTCACATCAGCCTGAGGAGATGGGTATAACCACTGCCCCATTTATAGAGGAGGCAGCTGAGCCCCAGGGAGGCTCACTTGCCACAGCCACCCTGCTAATGCTTAAGCCACACTAGTCAAGTTGCAAATAACTTTATGTTTATGCCCAATTTTAAATAGTATAAATGATAAAAAGGGATTTCCTGGCTCTTGAAACTGAAAAGTCCAAACTTGAGGGACGAGTTGACTCCCAATAGTCATCAAGAGCCTGATTTCTTCCCAGAATCCCTCAGCAAACACCTCCAGGGTCAGTGTTCATAACTGGGCCTCCCACCACCCTCAGCTGGGCTCAGTGCATACAGTGCCAGTTTTTTGCCCCTTGGAGCTAGGGATGTCTCTGACCCCCAAACTCCAGGATCAAAGGGGAAATAAAATCCAGGTTGCTTCCAAATAGAGCAGGCAGTGAGTGTTGAGGATTGATCATCCCAACTATGCAGTTGAGAAGCAATGATTTGAACCCAGACTTGTCTGTTCATTCAAACAGTATTTATTAAGCCCTTGCTATGGGTCAGGCACAATTTTATATGCTGGAGACACAAACCTAAAAGGACTCTCACAGAAGGGCAGACCCCACAAACCTACAAGGCAGAACAGCTGCCTCTCAGGACTAAAATCTCGGCTTTTTAAAAGGTCTTGGAGGTAGATTAATGTTTTTCTTTTCTACCTACGAATCGACACTGTGACACCAGGATGGTTCTTTGTCTCTCAGCCTCCTTATCTATAAAATCAGAAATAACAGTACCTCCCCCAGTAAGTTATGTGAAAGAAATGAAAGGAGCTTATTATGCAGGAAACTTAAAAGCAGCACAACATCCAAACTACTGAGCATGCAATAAATTACCTCTTTCCCACTTCCATCCCATCCATGCTGATTTAGATTAAGTATAACTGCCCTGGAGTTTATAAAGCCGTTTTAGTTCATAAAGCCCGGAAGATGCTCCTTCGCCCTCTCTGCTCAGCCGCCAACATGTCTTTTAAATAATCCAAACTTTCTAAACTGAAGTGTGTGTGTGTTTGGGGGGAGCGGGGGGGGGGGCATACTAAATAGCCCAGCTGTTTTCAACTTGTCCTGAAATCTGAGACCAAGATTCTCTTAGAAATGCAAGCAAAGGAAGCCGACGGGACACCAAGAAAGCACAGGTCATTTCACCTCGTCTAGCTACATCTAGTCCTCTCCCGGCTTTGCAATTAATTATTCAGCCTCAGACCAGCAGATGGAGCTAACATTTTGCGTCTGAAGAAACGAGGTTTTTCATTTAATTTACAAGGTACAGTTTCTCGAGCCTCCACAGTTGTTACATCTTGTTGAACCTGTTTGTATAATTCTGTAAAAAATCCAGTCCCCATTCCAGAACAGTTGAAACGTAGCTAAGGACCCGGAAGAACAGAATCTCAACCCCAGCCAGGCCCGGGTTTCCCGGGGCCCCTCATGCTTCAGGGCAGTGGGGCGCCGCCATCACCGCCCGCCTCCGTCCTCCCCTCGCCCCAGTCCCCTCCCACTTTATATATTTCCCATCTGACTAAAACTGGCTTCCTCCGTGTCCACCAAGACGTCGTCTCTAAATGGCCTAAACTCCCAAGGAGTGCGATCGGCTCAGGCACTCGGACACGCGGATTCCACCGGGCGCGACCGGCGTTGCCCTCGTCATGGCATCGCGGCGCCTCACGTGCTGCCGGACAGAAGGCCTCGGTGGGGTCGGCGGCGGCTGCTGCTGGCCTCGACCGCATTAAGCGGCGACGTTTCACGAACCTTTTAACTGAAATCACTCCAATACAGGCGCATGCGGGACGAGGGGAAAGCTCCTCACCAGACCCCGCCCACCTTTCCCTCCCTCTTCCGCCAAGCGTCCACCACGCCGCAGAAAGAAAAGCGAACGCCCCTCCCGGCTCCAGGGGCGAGACCTGAGAGATTTGGCCCAATCAGGGATTCCACCTAACCAGACGGGCCAGAGTCTGTGACCCGGTTGGACCAATGAAAACTCGAGGGCGGATTCGCCAGGGTCTTCTGGGAAAGTGATGCTCCCGGAAACTACCGCCTCCTTTCCGCAACATGTGGGCGGAGTTAGCCTTCCAGCCCGCAGTCCCACTGGCTGACTTCGCTGCCCGTCACGGGAAGGCGGGAGAGGGCGGGCCGGGACGCTCGCGTCTGCGCGGAGCCGGGCTGGCCGCGCGCGGGAAGCCGCGGAACTGCGCCGGAAAGTCCCCCGGTTCTGGGCCCCGGGTGACCCAAACTAAGCCTCCAAGAAGGAAAAGGAGGAGAGAAAGGCAGCTCTTCCCGTGACCCTGCCTGAGGCCTCCGTGGGCGCACTGCGTGACCTCCGCGGCCGGCCCCTTCGTGGAGCTGCGGCCCACGCGGGGGTCGTCCCGACCGTGGGCGCCGCTGCCGGCCCTGACTCGGGACGTCGCGGCGCAGGTAGGTTGCCGTCCCCTGGCGGACTGATACCCAAGACAGGCCGGCGCGCATACCCCACGCTCTTCTCCATTGCGGAGAACGAGACACGGCTGTGCCTTTGTCCACGTGGTAGAGTTGCCGCCGGCGTGAGGCTCTCGCCTGTGCGAAACGCGTGGCAGCGAATTCGCTTTGCAATGAGGAAAGGCGCGTCCCCGCACGGAGCAGCTCTCGGGTGTGAGGAGGGCGGGGCAGGGCGTGCGTCCTTCTAGGTTTGAATTAAAGGCGACTGGAGGGAAGTAAGGCCGTGCCGCTGTGGCAGCGTCTCCCGTCCAGCTCCGGACACTCGACCGTGCGGGCCGTAGGGGGAGGCGGCGGTCTTCACAGTTTCTTACTCCAGTCCTCACTGGTTCTTTTTCTGATTAGACAGGCAGCGGGGCTGACGGCCCCATGGGTTACTGAGAACCAAGAAGTGGAGATGATCCTTCTTTGGGGTGTGGGGGCGTGGCCGATCGTTAGATTGTGTTTGGAAAGACAGCCAGGGGCAGAGCTGGAGAAGAGGGGCGTCTCTGAGATGATGGGGGGTACTGGTGCCATGGAGGGAGGAGGAGTGAGGTGGAGGTCGGGAATTCCAGCCAGAGAGACATGGGGTCCCTGGGAGAAAATTTCCACGCCAGCAGTCCTGGAGTTGTGCTCATGGAGACTTGTTTACGTAAGTAAAAGGATAGCATCGTCTTGACAGAATTTCAGCCCTCAGGCTGGTCTTGTGAATGATAGATCAGGAGTGTACTTACCGTCATTTTCTTCATACAGCCCTAGTTTTCCTTTTTCTCATTTGTAAAACTGTTACAGTAATACCTTTCTCATCCTTTTGTGGTGACATTTAAATGAGGTAATGTATGTGAAGCCCTTTGCAAACACAGCGCTTCTTATTCGTGGGTTGCGCATGGGGTGCATTCAGCTAACCTCAGATCAAAAATATTCTTCAGAAAACGCAAAATCCGTTTGTACTGAACATGTGGAGACTTTTTCTTCTTGTGATTATTTTCTAAACGATACAGTATAACAACTATAATCGCATCTACATTGTATTAGGTATGACAGGTTACCTAGAGATGATTAAGGTATATAGGAGGATGCCCATAGGTTATATGCAGACAGTACAACATTTTATCAGGGACTTAAGCATCAGCACGTGCTGCTATCCTCGGGGTTCCTGAATCCAGTTTCTCACAGATACCGTGGGACCGATGTACTCAGTTCAGAGTACAGTTGGGGCTTAACTTTGAGGTCTGTGGAGGCAGTGGAAAGACCCATGACTGAAATTGGCTGGGCTTTCCCAGACGCAATGCACCACCACTTTTGTCAGCCGTTACAAGTACTTGTCTCTTTCCAGCTCTATATGAAATGTGTTATCTATTTCATAAACTAATCATTAAAAAAAAAAAGTTAAGGTCTTTGAAATAAAAAATTATTCATTATTTAAGTTTGTAAATATGAACTGTTTTGGTAATGTCCTGTATTTTAGTAATCCACTATTTTAGTAGTTCTTTATTTGTTTTTTAAGTGAAATATTTCAGTTATGGAGAAAAGAACCTAATAGTTGTGCCTGTACCCCAAAAAAAGTAAATGTGAATTTTTTTTATGGTTTAGGACTTTTTTATTGGAGGGGCAATTTGACATTTCAGCTACAGTTCAAATTCTGTGCCCACACCCCAGGAACTTTGAATTCTAACATGTCTTTCTGTTGAGGCACTGTGGCTCCACCACAGTTACATGGGGGATATTAGTACCCATGTAAGCTGAGTGTCCTCCCTTCTAATCCCCACTCACCAGCTTATCATGGGGATTATGGCTGCCATTTTGGTTCTGTCCTCATGTCACATGTGTTTCTATCTTCTTAAGAAACCTGCCGTCTCTGCCCTCCCAGTTCCTCTCAGGTGAGCTTATGATGGGCTTTCCCAGACTCAGCATCTGAGGAGCATTTCATTGGTTGGTTGGCCTTTATGGGGCCAGTGACCACTCTTCCCTTCAACATGGTCCACTGTCTTTGCCCAGGGGCAGTCATGTCTGTTGCAAGCATTCAGGAAAGAGTGGTCTTCCGTAGTCAAATTAACTCCATTTTATAAAATGGGATTTTAAAAACTCCTGGTCTAGTCAGCCTTCTTGTCCTCTGGGAATTGATTCCAGCAACCCCCTACCTCTGCAACAGACCAAATCTGCTGATGCTCCAAGTCCTTGATATAAAATGGCATTAAGGCCAGGGGTGGCTCGTGCCTATAATCTTCAGCACTTTGAGTGGGCAGATCACCTGAGATTAGGAGTTCAATTTCAAGACCAGACTGGCTAACATGACGAAACCCTGTCTCTACTAAAAATACGAAAATTAGCCAGGTATGATGGCAGGCACCTGTAGTCCCAGCTACTTGGGAGGCTGAGGCAAGAGAATCGCTTGAACCTGGGATGGGGGGTTGCAGTGAACAGAGATTGCACCACTGCACTCCAGCCTGGGTAGGAGTGAGACTCCGTCTGTAAAACAAAATAGCGTAGGACAGTCATCCCAACGTATTCGCAGTTTTCAGCCTGAGGTTGGCTAAATCTGTGGATGCAAAACCCTCAGATATGGAGTGTTGACTGTAACTAAATGTTTTTAACTAAACGCTTAATGTATATTACTCATTTAATTTTCCTATTACAGTTACGCCGCAGTGGTGATCCCATTCTAACAGACGGAAGCTTAGTAAGGTTAGGCATTTGGGCGCTGTATACCATTTGAGGCCCCAGTCTTTGTTCTGCCGTTTGGAACTATTTTGCAGGTAGCAGGAAAGGACTGGTGCACTGTTAGAGCAGAATGAACTTTGGCATTCACGTGGGTTCTCTTCGACCTTACTTCCCTGCAGCCCTTGGTTCCCCAAGGCCGAGGAAACACCCGGTGGAGCCCTTCTTCCACAGAACCAGAGATGGCATCTGTGGATTTCAAGACCTACGTGGATCAGGCCTGCAGAGCTGCTGAGGAGTTCGTCAACGTCTACTACACCACCATGGATAAGCGGCGGCGTTTGCTCTCCCGCCTGTACATGGGCACAGCCACCCTGGTCTGGAACGGCAATGCTGTTTCAGGACAAGAATCCTTGAGTGAGTTTTTTGAAATGCTGCCTTCCAGCGAGTTCCAAATCAACGTGGTAGACTGCCAGCCTGTTCACGATGAAGCCACACCGAGCCAGACCACAGTCCTTGTTGTGATCTGTGGATCAGTGAAATTTGAGGGCAACAAACAACGGGACTTCAACCAGAACTTCATCCTGACTGCCCAGGCCTCACCCAGCAACACGGTGTGGAAGATCGCAAGTGATTGCTTCCGCTTCCAGGACTGGGCCAGCTAGTGCGGGTGGCAGAGGCTCTGCTTCCCTCAGCGCTAGCTCTGCGGAGAAATGCAAATCTCAGTGCTCCAGGATGTGAAGAACACAAGTTCATTTCTGTTGTTGCGGAGACTCTGCAGATGCCACTGTGCTGAGGCTGAGCTCTGTCGCTCAAGTTCTAGGAGCCCCTTTCCTGAACACACATTTGTTTGTCATGGTTTCCTTTTCAAAGCAGTAAACTTTTCTATTTTTCTACTTGCTCAGTAGAGACTCTGATTCTGGAAATTCTGACAAATAATTTAATAATACACATATTGCTTCTTTCCCCCTGCCTGATGTGTCTGACCAGGTTTTGCGGGAGGAGGAGGGCTAAAGGCGGAAAGCATAATAGGAAGCACCCACACAGGGGTGACAATCAGGGCTGAGTACCTACCCCGGGCACCGGTATGCACACAGGTGACCCACCTGAAGCTGTGATTCACAGCTCCCTGCATACTAGAATCCCTTGGAACACTGAAAATTACCTATGCCAAGGCCATACTCCAGACCCGACGATGCCTGAGTCTGTGTGTGTGTGGTGGTTGTTGGTTTTTTTTTTTTTGAGACAGAGTCTTGCTCTGTCACCCAAGCTGGAGTACAGTGGCATAATCTCCGCTCACTGCAACCTTCGCCTCCCAGGTTCAAACAGTTCTTGTGCCTCAGCCTCCCGAGTAGCTGGGATTGCAGGCACACGCCACCATGCCCGGCTAACTGTATGTCTGAATCTTTGAGGGTAGAGCTGGGCATGGGCAGTTTTTAAAAGCACCTAGGCCCTACCATAGCACCTTAGCTGAGAACTAAATGATGAGAACAGATGAAATACTAGAGTTAGCTAAGAACTGCCTACAAATGAAGCCACCATATTAAACTCATTCGTAAAGAGAAAGTGAAGCAGCACTGATTCTGAGACAAAGGGGCACTGAAACTGGGATGGAGGACATCAGAACTAGAAGCTGCTTTTACTGATCCTAAAGGCCAACCCCAATTGCATTTCTCTAAAGAAAGAATAGCAAACCTCACAGAAGTCGGACCAATAGATGATGTGCCATGCTGCGGCTTCCCCAGTTGAGTTGTCTTTGTTGAGAGTGTGTTAGGTGTGGAGTAGGGTAGTCAGGATATTGGAATGGGAAATTCTGAGAAGGGTAAGAGTCCTGATGAGCACAGCGGCACTGGTGGCCATTTCTTGATACCCTTCCCTTCCCTATTATCTGAAGCCCAGTGTTTTGAGGGACAAGGGACCCACCTGAAAGATGACTTTCTCATTCAATTTGTAGCTAGGCCTGATGTGATTTAAGTTCTGGCCAGTGAAGTAGGAGGACTGAACTTGTGGGAATTTTGCTTCAACAGACCCTTCCTCCCTCCTTCTATCCTGCTGCCTGGAAAGGAAAGGTTATGATGGCCTGACCACCGGCTCTGGCTCTGTCTTGGCCAAGAGAACAGTTCAGCTATACCCTAGAGGTAGGACTGTGCTGAGCTAAAAGGAACCTGGGTCCCTGGTGACCATATGGGAACACCAAAGTAGCCCCATCTCAGTCACCCTAAGACTTCTTTTTGAATGAGAAATAAATCCCATCTTAAGCCATTATCAATTTGGGTTTGTGACGCTGACACAGCAGTAATCTTAAGGAAAACGATTTGAATGGGGCAGACTTCACTATAGGACTTGCGGATGGCCCCGCCTACTGTCCCTCAGGTCCAGGCCAGACCCCCACGTGGGCTGGGCGGATAGGTTACAGGGTGCTGCATCCCCGCCCACACTAGCCTGGTTGCAGGTGGCATCCCGGGAAGCTCCACCCTCACCACACCCCCACCACCAGGAAGGCAAGACGTCTTAAGTGTGCCTGGCTCCCTCCTAGGATTCTGGGACACATCTCCACCCAGCAGCAGTGCAGCATGTACACCCAGATTCGTCCCTGCGGGTGTGGTTTCCCACCGAAGGAAAGCCCAAGGCCCTCCCATTCTGTCCTGCACGCTGCCCGATGCCTTAATTATAAGGCAGATGAAGGTGAAGAGTTTACTGTCTTTTCTTATTTTTACAACTTTTTGTAAATTTTAAACTATGAAAAGTTGTTTAAGAAATTAATTGTGCTGTGGAGAGTAATCAGCACGCAGTGCAAGTTCTTTCTTATAGTGACCACATCCACAAACCACGTGGTGTGGAAGAACAGGAGGTGTTCTGCTTTCTCTGTTTCACCCTCTCTCCACTTCATCTTTCAGGGCCTGGAGTAGTGGTGACAGCAAGGTCTGTTGGTTTCTTTAGTTTGGGTTTGATGAAAGGTCACTCCAGTGGGGTAGGGGGTGGGAAGGGAGAACAGGGGCTGGGGTGGGAGAGGTAGGAGCTGGGGCCCGGCGGTTGGAGGAAATGAAGGGGAGGGTGGCTTGGAGAATTCTGGAAGAAGAGACATTGGAAGGCCGGGGAAGGTGAAATGGACATTGAGCGAAGCTGAGGGGTCCTAGTGAACCACGTTCCCTCTGATCCAGATACTCCCAGAACACCAGGAAATCAAGAAGCTTCTGAATGTGGTCTGTTGCAAGTTTGGAAGGTGCACACCTGTTGCTGCTAATGTGAACAATTTAGGGGAAGAGCAGAGATTTAGATGCTGCTTTGGTTGACCTTAAACACCAGCCCTGGCCGGGCGCGGTGGCTCAAGCCTGTAATTCCAGCACTTTGGGAGGCCGAGGCAGGTGGATCACGAGGTCAAGAGATCGAGACCATCCTGGTCAACATGGTGAAACCCCGTCTCTACTAAAAACACAAAAAATTAGCTGGGCATGGTGGCGCGTGCCTGTAATCCCAGCTACTCAGGAGGCTGAGGCAGGAGAATTGCCTGAACCCAGGAGGCGGAGGTTGCGGTGAGCCGAGATTGCGCCATTGCACTTTAGCCTGGGTAACAAGAGGGAAACTCCGTCTCAAAAAAAACACACACACACACCAGGCCTGCCTCCACTACCGCCTTGCCAAATTACGGCCCAGTCTCTGCTTTGCAAAGAGCAAACAGAAAACTGCAGCAAATTGCTTTGTCCTGTAGACAAGGGGCTGGGACTAGGTAAGAGGAGGGACCCAGGATGCAAAACTTAAGGTCAGCCTGGCCAACAGGGTGAAACACCGTCTCTGGGCGTGGTGGCAGGCACCTGTAATCCCAGCTACTTGGGAGGCTGAGGCAGGAGAATAGCTTGAACCTAGGAGGAGGAGGTTCCAGTAAGCCGAGATCGCGCCACTCTGCACTCCAGCCTGGGCGACAGAGCGAGACTCCCTTTTAAAAAAAAATAAATAAAATCCCTCTCCTCATGAGATTGGTGAAGAAAGTACTTGGCAAAATTCTCAATTAAAAATAAATAAATAAAAAAAACTTAAACATCACAAACGAACCGTGAGAAATGGTTTATCTTAACGTTGTGACAACTTACCTAATTTTAAGGCATGTAAAGGCGTATGTTAAAACTCAGCTCTTGAACCCCAGCTGCCCTTTTGGTCATGCTTAATTTGATGTGGACTGGAACCTATTTTGCAGCATTGTAGAGCTCCCACAAGGCGGTGGCGTTCTTTCTCAATCGGAGCCCACACCCCTCCTGAGGCGCCCTCTCCTAACCTGGGATACGGTTGGCATGGCCGCCGCCCCTCTGCAGGCTGCTCTTCCCTGGCTTGGGAGCCGACGCCCCCGCGATACGAATGCCACGCCCGGAGCAGTTTTCGGAACCCAGAGCACCCATGGGCAGTTCTCGCCAGGACTGACTGACCGAGGGTGGGCTGCCCAGCCGGGTGGGGCTGTTGGGGAATGGACAGCTGCTCCGCAAAGGAACTGGGGGAAACCACAGCTCAAATCCCGCTGGCCACCAGCCGGAGACCAAGACGCAGGGGGTCGCGCCAGTTTCGCACTCAACCGCAGGTTCCAGCGTCACGGACACGGCCGACAACATCACCCCGCGACTGCTCAGGACCCTTCGGAGGACTCTTTGTCAGCTAGAAATCGCTGTAGCGCGCTCCACGTGACTCCGGCTCCCTAACCCCGCCCTCCGTCTCCAAAGAGCCCTGGAACGAGCAATCCCAGCAGCTCCGGAGGGCGGGGAGAGGCAGGGCCGGAATCTGAGACAGCCAATGGGCGGGGAGTGCCGCCCAGCCTGAGCCAAGGCCGCGCCCTCACGAGCCTGTGGGCGGGGCGCTGGGGTTGTGCCCGCTTCAGCGTTCTTCTTAGTGCGATTTAGAATTCGATCATTTCTTTCCAGTCTTTTTCTATAGATTTGTTTTCAAATCATATCAGACCCTGTGCAAAATAGTATAGCCATCTTTACTCATTATAACATGGTGAGCATTTCCCCAGACTTACACATATTTTTAAACGTTGTTTTAATGACGTCATAATAATGTAGTGCTTGCATATATCACCAGTCATTCGGCCATCCTTATAGGTGAATAGATTGTTTCCAAAGTTTCACTAAGTGCACTGCAGTGAACGCCCTTCCATAAAAATTGTTCATTTCCGTGTACTTATCAATGCAGAGTTCTGCAGCATGAAACACTATTTAACTTTGTTAGTTTGACGTTTATCAGTGGTTTATCGTTTTTATGTAGTATTCCACTGTCAGTGAAGTATACCATTCACACTCTCATGTGAATTGTCTACTGGTATTACTAAGAAAAAAAAAATCACAAACTTACAAACTTAGAAAGGCGAGCCTTATTTCTTTAAAGGGTGATAATCGGCAAGGTGGCCCTTCTGGCAGGCTGGGAAGCATAGCCTCTGGCAGAAGCTCCGCAGGCACCTGGAAGGAAGGAGGCCCAAAACAGGCATTTACGCTGAAAGGCTTGGCCAACTGTACATATGCAACAGGCCACAGGAAGAGCTATGAATATTCATGAAAGGGGTCCTGACCTATGCTTACTGGACAAACATGCACGTTACAGGTGACCCATGTTCATTTTGGGGTGGACTCTTAGCATTTGCATCTATTACACTTAGACCCTATATGTTGAAAGGTTTTTTCAGGACACTAATGCACTCATGTGCAGCCTCTGTAAACCACCCAGAATCAACCCTTCAGTTGTTTCCCATGAGGAGAAAGTTACTGTAGTCAGTCTCTGGTCCATTCAAAGCAGTAGTTATTTGTGCACTGGGGGTCAGTCAGCATGTGGAGGTGGACGAGATGCACGTTGTTTTAACATTGCTTATCTAGAAGCCAGTGCTTGTTTGGCTGCTAGAGAAAAATTAAAACCTCGTGGCAGTTAGGACATAGTTTGTTCTTTAAGAGTACAAGCGCATGACTTAACCCTTGCTGGGCATGGCCCCTGATTCTGTTTATAATTTAATATCGTATTGCCACAGAGTCTGTGAGCCTTATGACCTCTATTTTAACCTTAATGCTAGGATGGGTGGTGCGTGGAAACGAGGCCCATCCAACCCCTTGTTCCAAGGGAACTGTTTTTAAGGTTTCTCTGGGGTAAAAAACTGTTTTTAAGGTGTATTTTCTCTCTCTCTTAGCCAAGAGGGAGTCTGTTCAGTCAGTGGGGAGACTCAGAATTGTATTTTAATTTGCAATATCCTTTGCTACTTTTGTATTGGCTGCTGTTTTTACATTGACTTCCAGGAGTTCCTTTGAATAAGCTTGTTGCAATTTCTACCTTGGAACTTGATCTAGTTTATAAATTCCTGTAGCATTTCTAAAGATAATTTAATATAAAATATGACTATCATATGCTGTTTCTTTCTTTGGTTAGGCATTAAAGTTATTAAGACACCCAACTAAAGCAATCCTTTCAGCATTGAATGCTAGCTAACATAATCAGAGATGGAGTCTTGTTCTATTGCCCAGGCTGGAGTGTAGTGGTGTGATCTAGGGTCACCGCAACCTCCATTTCCTGGGTTCAAGTGATGCTCCTGCCTCAGCCTGAGCCTCTGGGATTACAAGTGACCAGCTTTTTTTTTTTTTTGAGACAGAGTGTCACTCTGTTGTCCAGGCTGGAGTGCAGTGGCACGATCTCCACTCACTGCAACCTCTGCCTCCTGGGTTCAAGTGATTTTCCTGCCTCAGCCTCCTGAATAGCTGGGATTACTGGCGTGTGCCACCACGCCCGGCTAATTGTTGTATTTTTAGTAGAGAAGGGGTATCACCATGTTGGCCAGGCTGGTCTCGATGTCCTGACCTTAAGTGATGCACACACCTTGGCCTCCCAAAGTGCTGGGATTACAGGCATGAGCCACTGTGCCGGGCCACCTTTTTCTAATGCAAAACAAAATCATAAAACACTATTGTGGGCCTGCTGGAGCCACGGGTGAAAACTGCATTCATTTCCTCAAATCATGGAATGCAAATATAGAGATAGTCGGCCTAAGAAAGATTTATGTTACTCATTCTTCAAATATTTATTGAGCACCTAACTATGTGTGGGAAGCTGGCTCCTGTTCCGGAAATATAATTACAAGTACAATCTCCCACCCTCTTCAGAAAGGTAGTGGAGAAAGAAAACACTTTTTAAATGAATAAGCATTAAACTAGAATGTGATACCCATCACAGGCAATCCACCAAGAGACTGCAACGACAGAAATCTCACTCTTGTGCAGCCAAGCAATCTATTACATACGTATTTTCCAGATAATAACTCGTTCTCAAGGGACCCTGGCAGCACTTTTCATCACACAGTTTCTTTAATCTGGTATTTGGCGTGATCCTCTGTATTAGCCAACTGGCTTTATCTGGAGGAAAAAGAAACTTGTATCTTCATGATAGGTGATAATTTTGTAAGTTGGGGCAGAGGGCCCACTGAAGGTAGGCTCCTACTCTCCCATCAAAACTGGAAGATACGGGCAGTATCTCCCTTGATATTTATAGAGATGGCTCCTAGGTCCTAGACAAAGATATTTCTAGGTTATGAAGGAGACAAAAAGGCCTAACTAGTGTTCAAAAGGATTTACATATTTCAAGAGTGGAAAAAGTAGTTACACTAATTACCAATTTTTTAAAGTATTGTTCAAAGAAAATGGGAGGGAAACCTCATGTTAAGTCTGTATTTGTCCCGACACTCCCCAAACATTACAAACTCAACCTACTGATAAGACAAGGCTGAGTTAACTGCTGGCCTCAGTGAGGAACAGCATGGACCTGGCATAGCTTTAGCAATGGCTGGGGGCTAAGAGCAAGGTCAGGTTATGGAGAACTGGAAGTCTGACTTAAGGCAGGTGTTTCTAAGCGGGCTTTAGTACTGAGCAAGGATTGGGGGAAACAGCAAGATTTCGAGGAGTCAGCGGATCTTAAGGTACCAACTGTGCTTTCCTCAGAGGAGCAAATGGATCTCTGGGAAGTTCCGTAGTGCACAAAGCCTTAGTCGGGATGGGAACTCCTGGAAATATAAAGCCCTGCAATAAAGACGGCAGCGTGCAGTCCCGGTTCCCGGCGCGCCGAGTCTCCCAGCAGGGGCGGGGCATCGCGGAAGACGTGCCCCCGAGGAGCGCGGGCGCCAAGCTCTCCGGCGCCCACGGAGGTTATCTGCGCGCCGCTGCGCCCTCAGCGGCCGCGGTCGGTGCCTGCTTCGAACCCGCCCTTCGGCGACGTTCTTCGCGTGGCCACTGTGCCCCACGGGTGCGCTCGGCCTCGCGGACCTGAGCAGCTCTTATTGGAAGGCCACGCGCTGCCTGGAGCCCGGTGGCGCCCAGGTCTCCTGGCCAGATGCCCGGAATGGACCCAAAAGTGACCACGCGAGTCAGACGCTCACGTGACCTTCCGCGACTGGCTCCGCCCCGCTGTGGCGTGCCGCAGCGCAGACGTCGACGTCTCCTGCGCCGGCGTAGGCCTTGACTCGCGGCGGATGACGCAACCCGACGTCGCCAGTCAGTCACGCGGCCCCAGCGTACGTCAGATCGGGTAACTCTACCCGAACCGCTCTTCAGTCCGACCTGTGCGCGCAGCTCCTGCCTCAGCCCCGCCAGGGGCGGGGCCAGCCGAGGGAGGGGAGGGGCCTGCAGTGACCAATCGGAGGCGCCCGCGCCGGGCTCCGCGCCCCGCCTAGCTGGGCCGGCAGTTCCTACCGGCCTGGTCCAGCGGACAGCGGGCTGCGGCGGCGGCGGGGGCGGCGGCGGCGGGGGCGCCCGCTGGGAGGTGAGTACGCGGCCCGCAGACCCGGCCCCGGCTCCTTGCCTCTGGACGCCTCCCAACTGTCGTCCGGGCGCCGCGGCTGCTCTGAGGAGCGGCGGGCCTCGGGGATGCGGGAACAGGGGACAGGGGGCGGCCCGAGGGCCTGATCCACGCGGCCGGCGTCGAGAGGCGGCGCGTCCGGCCGAGGAGGGGCTTTTCTGCGGCTGCAGTAGTTTGTTCTCCGGGTCGTCTTTGGAGGGGCCGAGGGAGGTCCGGGCGCTGGGACGGCGAAGTGGCGCTGGCCAGGTGGGAGGTGCCGTGAGGACGGCGGCGGCTTTAAGCGCCCTTGGAAACCCCGGCCCCTCTGACCGTGGAAGGGGCTGCGGGGAGCAGCGTCTCCTGGGAAGGGCTCTGGCCCTGTGAACCCCGGGGAATCAGGGGCCGCCAACGCGGGTGCCGATGCCGGGCGCACTGGGAGGCGGCCAGAATGCCAATGAGCTTCAGCGGACACGCAGCTGTCACCGGCCGCAGAAGGCCCTGTCGCCACCTCCAGTGCCTGCACTCCAGTGGCCACACAACGTAGGAAATCGGGCTCAGAACCCACTTTGTTGATTGACTGAGAAATCAGGTCCCCTCGAGGGCCCTGTAGGCAGAGGTCTGGGGAGGTCAGGGCTGGCCGTGCGTATGGGTGTCAGGCTGATAGAGCCCTCGCCATCCTGGTTTCTGCAGGCTGGGGCCGGGACCACTGAAACCCCGCCCCAATTCTACAGATCCTTTGCTTAGGCTTCCTCAGTGTTCTCACGGTTTGCTGTGGAGTCCCCTTCAGGTGACATTGCTCAAGCCTCCTAGGTACTTGTTTACAGCAGAACTCCCGGAGGGTAGTCTTTCCCTGTTTGGGGACTGGTGGTTGTGGGGAGCAGTATCATTGATGAGACTGGAGAAGGGGAGAGGGATGGGACTGGTTTTTCAAGAAAGATGATGACAACTTTTTTCCTAGACATGTTGAATCCGAGGTAACATCTGTGGTCTGGCGGAAGGAGGCTAGAAAGAAGGTACGTGCTTGGATGGGTGGAGACAAGAATCAGAGAGGAAGGTAGATTCCAGAGCTGAAGGGCAGGGACGAACCTCCTGGAGAAAACACATATTCAGGGAGTTTGTGGCAAAGCAGCAGAAATGATGATGGGGGAAGGTATCTGGAGGCCTTAGGTGGGTTTGGTGAAATTTGCATGCCCACTGCAGTGGGAAGATTTAGGGGCCAAAGGCAGCCATTCGCCTTTGGTGAGGCTGAGGGGAAGAGGGTGTTGAGTAGTTTGAGTCCCAGCTACTCAGCTGGTCCCAACCAGCCATCGACTGATACCTTGTTAGGTCCTCATCTATGAAATGGGGATCACTCTATCACCTTGGCCTGTGTGTGGGAAACCAGTAACAACCAGCTAGCAACTTTTAGGCTCATGGAGCAGCGGGTCAGCCTTCTTCAGAGGAGGAAATGGGTTCAGAGAAGTTGCTTGTTCAAAGTAGCACAGCTTGTAAAAGCTGTGGAACTTCCATTATTTCAGTAGAGTAAGAATAGTTCAAATTATGAGTTTTTAGGGTGTTGGGAATGGGCGATGAATTGTGAACTACTTTTCTAGGAAGTTTTCCTCATGGAAAGGATTTACTTACTTGGTTCTTTTCAAAGGCAGAATGATTGCCTAAGGTTTTCGATTTGCTCCCAGATGGTGGTGGCTATATGTTTTATCTGAATTATCTGGTTTCCTGATCAGAGAACTAGATGTTATTGTTGCCATGAATTCTTTTCCAGTTTGCGGTCTATGTTTGTAAGCAAATTAGACAGTGACCTTGGTGAACAAATTAGTGCGTTCATGTATTTTCACTAATCACAACTTCCATCATTTGTCTATCACTGGAGGAAATCTTAGAATACAGTATTTTTCTCATGCCAATTTATTACCTTAGGAAAATGCATGAGGAAGTTCACTTTAGAAAACTGTGCTCAGAAGTAAAGTGTCGTTCAGATCTTACCTGAGTAAAGCTAGGTTGTTAATGAGTCAATACCCTCCCAAGAACTGAAGTAATCCTCATAAATGTTAGTCCTTCTGCTTCAGTGATTGCTCATGCATAATTCTTGTTTCTTTTTCAAAGCTGTTTTTGGAAGGAAGAAAGATGGAAAGTGGTGCGGTTCTGCTGGAATCCAAATCCTCACCATTTAACCTACTGCATGAAATGCATGAGCTTCGTCTCCTGGGCCACCTGTGTGACGTGACAGTCAGCGTGGAGTATCAGGGCGTCCGCAAAGACTTCATGGCCCACAAGGCAGTGCTGGCTGCCACCAGCAAGTTTTTTAAGGAAGTGTTCCTCAACGAGAAGAGTGCGGACGGCACTAGGACTAAGGTCCACTTACAGGAAGTGCAGGTTGCTGACTTTGCTTCATTTCTTGAGTTTGTCTACACTGCAAAGGTACAGGTGGAAGAAGATCGGGTGCAGCGAATGCTGGAAACAGCTGAAAAGCTGAAATGTTTGGACCTATCAGAAACTTGTTTTCAGTTAAAGAAACAGATGTTAGAGTCAGTACTTTTGGAGTTGCAAAATTTCTCAGAGTCTCAGGAGGTCGAGGCGAGCAGTGGCTCCCAACTGAGTGCTGCTCCTGTCCCCAGGGCAAGTGTGGCCACGGATGGCCCTCACCCCAATGGCCTCACTGATCCCTTGGGCGGCCCAGGAGAGAGAGCCAGTAATGGCATGTCTTCAGATTTGCCGAGGAAGTCCAAGGACAAACTAGACAAGAAGAAAGAGGTGGTTAAGCCTCCTTACCCTAAAATCAGGAGAGCTAGTGGAAGGCTGGCTGGGAGGAAGGTCTTTGTGGAGATCCCTAAAAAGAAATACACTAGAAGACTCCGAGAGCAGCAGAAAGGTGCTGAGAGTGATGTGGGGGACTGCAGGTATCCCCAGGACCAATGCCCAGACAGGGTAGGCACAGAGATGGAGCTGGTTATCAAAAATGAGGGTTGCCAGGCAGGTGCTAAGTTGGAGGAAGCATCGAAGAAAGCAGGGGCAGAGGAGGAAGAGGAGGAGGAGGAGGAAGAGGAAGAGGGGGAGAAGAAAAAGAGCAACTTTAAATGCAGTATCTGCGAGAAGGCGTTTCTATACGAGAAGAGCTTCCTGAAGCACAGCAAGCACCGCCACGGCGTGGCCACTGAGGTGGTGTACCGCTGCGACACCTGCAGCCAGACCTTCGCCAACCGCTGCAACCTGAAGAGCCACCAGCGCCACGTGCACAGCAGCGAGCGCCACTTCCCATGCGAGCTGTGCGGGAAGAAGTTCAAGCGCAAGAAGGACGTGAAGCGGCACGTGCTGCAGGTGCACGAGGGCGGGGGCGAGCGGCACCGCTGCGGCCAGTGCGGCAAGGGCCTGAGCTCCAAGACAGCCCTGCGATTGCACGAGCGCACACACACGGGCGACCGCCCCTACGGCTGCACCGAGTGTGGCGCCAGGTTCTCACAGCCGTCTGCACTCAAGACGCACATGAGGTACGCGGGGAGCCACCCAGAGGGGTCTCTGTGCACTGGAGGGGCGTGGCAAGCACTGAGATCGTCCTGGGATTTGGACCCGGTGATGTCTTACTGCCTCATTTGTCCGCTCCAAACCTGGGGGCCTCTTTCGAGACAGCATTGAGTTCTCTGTCAAGGTAGAGGGGCTGCGAGCGATGGCTCTGCCCCCTTGTTCTGAGACCCCGGGGCGCTCCTGTGGGCTGGGATGTCCCCCTGGTGGGGCCTGCCACCGTGGCCGCAGGCTCGCCCTGCCGTGCTGGAGGAAGAGTTGGGCCTCATTACCTTTGTTTCTCCTTTCCTGACTCTTCATTTAGATCTCGGGCTCTGTGACCCACCCTGCCTGGGTCCCACAGTCTCAGTAGAGACGTCAGTGAGATGCTGATTCTGGCTTTAGGACTTGTCTCTCATCTTTGGTTCTCAGGCTTAGGAGGGCCTCTGTGCAGTCTGCACTCCAGAAGCAGAACAGAGAATGCTTTCTGTTTCTTAATACTTTTCTGAACTGTAGGTGTGTGATGTTTTTGAATAAGTTTCCTTACGGTTGTTAGTGTATTTATTCTTGAAATCCCAACAAGCAGTTGTTTTCTGTTCTGTTCTAGACCCGCCTCAAGCCTCCGTCAGCCTTGGGTAAGCAGCACAGTGGTCAGCATCTTGTACTCCATGTGATCACTTAAAAATACTTGGGAAGTGCTCGGTAAATGACGGTTGATTGCTACTTCATGCTAGTTGTGACATTAAAATGCCACCTTCAGCATTTTGAGAACAGTTCTCCTTTCTCGACTGGTTACATCATATTAGGAAATGAGAGTAAAATTTTTGATCATGTGACACTTAGCAGTAGTTCCTAAAGCGTCTCGGGCTGACTATTCCGAGTGAGGCAGCTTTACAGATACTCGATGGTGGTCTTCGGTGTGTTCAAAACCAGCACATACCTTCTGGCCTCAGCAGTAGGGCTTGTGAGCAGGTGTAGATGAACATTCTGTCAGTGATTTATGGAAAATGTGTGGATCCATTGACCTTGTGCAGAAACTCAGTTTACTTTGGAATGGAGAATATGGGCTGTTGACCTGTCACTACGGTCATTCTCAGTAGATCTCTTGGAATAAATGATTTTTGCAGGATAGAGTGGAAATTGTACTGCAAAGTGAGCTTTGAAATACATCCTAAGTTATCATATGAATGTTGTACTTTCAGAATTCATACAGGGGAAAAACCTTTTGTCTGTGATGAATGTGGTGCAAGATTCACTCAGAACCACATGCTGATTTATCATAAAAGGTGCCACACAGGTAAATACCCACGCTGTTGTGATTGAATGTCTTTCCTAGCTGTAGAAGGAAATGCAATTGATTCATTTTGAAGTTGGCATCTACCAAGGTGGTGCAGGTTAAAGCCATGATACAGCTTTTCCATCTAGCAAGTGAGCAAAATAAACATACACCCATTGCCTTCGCTGGTCCTGTGCATGTGGCCATGGCTTTTATACCACCAGGCCACAGGATCTGGCATGCAGGCCTTAGGTATCAAGAGATATAAAATAGTTCTTACTGTTAAAACGAAAAATTCCTTTTCTAAGACTCTGTGCTAAAGAAATTGTCTAACGTGGGAAGAGCTATATGCTGTTAACCCCCTTCTTGCTATTTTTATTAACTAAGAATGGGAAACAACTTGATTGTCCAACCACAAGGAAGCGCTTCAGTAAACTCTGGTAAATCTATACCCTGGCTTCTGACCCTGGCTGTTCAGAGTAAGGGCTCTGAATGACATGAAAAGGTCTGTGCTTGGATATTCAACGTTAAAATGCACAGTTAAGCGTACAGTTAACCTCAACTGTATTGAAAACCTGCACGTAAAAGACAAGAAGAAAGGAAGTTGTTATATATTAAGGTAATAGGGTTATCTCATTATGTTTTCCAAAGCCTTTATGAATTATTATGTGAGAATTTAAGTTGGCTTTACTCTGCTCAGCACAGTAACCCTGAGGCTCAGAATCTCGTGTAAGATACAGAAGCATACAGCATTGAAGTGTTCTATTCTTCTAACCCAGCTTCTCCTTTGCTTGCATTTTTTACTCTTACTTGTAAACACTGGCTTATAAGCCTCAAGTTCAAATGCAGGTGAGACAGAGATGGCATGTCTTTCTCATGAGATACTATGTCTGTTTGATTAGACACCAGTTCTGCGCACTCTGTAGTCATCATTCATGTCACTAAATGCAAATCTCATTTAATGTCATGAAATTAGCATTTAATGACATGAGTGATGACTACAGAATGAGTAGAATTGGTATCTAAAGAAAGCTTGGGGGGCCGGGCGTGGTGGCTCACGCCTATAATCCCAGCACTTTGGGAGGCCAAGGCGGGTGGATCACGAGGTCAAGAGATTGAGACCATCCTGGTCAATATGGTGAAACCCTGTATCTACTAAAAATACAAAAATTAGCTGGGCACGGTGGCGTGTGCCTGTAATCCCAGCTACTAGGGAGGCTGAGGCAGGAGAATTGCTTGAACCCAGAAGGCAGAGGTTGCGGTGAGCCGAGATGGCGCCATTGCACTCCAGCCTGGGTAACAACAGCGAAACTCCGTCTCAAAAAAAAAGAAAAAGTAAAAAGAAAGCTTGGGATTGGGGACAATGTGAGGTTATATTGAAGGATTAAGTTAGAATTGGTCCTTTGATAAGAATATGAACACGGTAAGATTTTTATTATTAAAGTCAGTATTTTTATTTCGATGTCTGTGAAATTGGGCACACCTAATAATTTGATAAGTCTGATTTGTGGGATTAAACTACAAAAAGTGAGCTGGTATTTATAACTTTTGACCTGCAATTCAATCAAGTTGATTGGAGTCCTACAATAGAATAGTGATACATTATCTATTGTAAACTTACTTCTCCTTTGAAGAGGGTTTATTCTGATAAAGATTCATAGAAGTGCTCCTTTGAAAATAATACAGCAGTTTCTCCATACACAAGTTGTGAAATTATTTTCTTGTTTGGAGTGACTACATTTCTAAAATGTGAGCCAGCTGAACAAACAATGCCTCTTTGATTCTAGTCAAATGGAATTTTTCTTGTGATTTTCAAGGGTATTTTATACCGACTTTCAGTAACTAGCAAGCATCTCGCATGAACACATATTTTACGATAGTTTTTACTAGAAAACATGACATGCTGCCTGCCCACCAAGGCACTTTTGAGGAGTTCATGTGGGTCTTGAGTATAGACTGACTCTTCCATGTGTGTTTCATGCCGTGTTGTTTATGACTTTGTTTCATTTTTTCATGTAGGTGAAAGACCTTTTATGTGTGAAACATGTGGCAAGAGTTTTGCTTCTAAGGAGTACTTAAAACACCACAACAGAATCCATACTGGATCCAAACCTTTTAAATGTGAAGTGTGTTTCAGGACGTTTGCCCAGCGGAACTCACTCTACCAGCACATTAAAGTCCACACAGGTATGGTTAGAATGTCCCAGGGAAGGGAGTTTAGTTTGGCCAAAAAAAAAAAAGAAAATCCCAGAGCTTGTAGATTTACCAGTAAATTACTTGGAATTAAGCTCTTGAAGAAAACTGGAAAACTCTGTATGTCATAATAGCATTCTTTTAGTTTCTTGTTTCTCTGAGAAACTGAAAAGGGAGCACGTATGTGTGTAAATGAGAAGGCGAAGTCCCTTTGCTTCCTGGAGTTTTTACTGAAAAGGACAGACAGCGTAGTCATGGTGTGAATGTTGGCAGTGGATGTGGATGTGTGGACATGGGATCATGATCTCTGCATGTTAGTACATGCACACACACATGCATATTCAGTTAGGGGACTTGTCATCTTATCTCCATTACTGTGGAAAACAAGGGTCATTTCTGAGGCTGTGGCCCCTTTTTGGTGTCACATAAACTCTTGGGATTACAGAGATGGTAGATTTGTGGCCCCTACATTGGTCCCAACATGGCCTCTATGCTGGATGCGGAGGCTGCCCAGTGGTTTGCAACAGCACCATTCATTCCAGTGTGTTCAGAACTAAGCACAGTAGGCCAAAAGGACCCACCAGCAGTCTCCTCTCTCCCTGCTTCAGGGGAGCGTCCCTACTGCTGTGACCAGTGCGGCAAGCAGTTCACCCAGCTCAACGCCCTCCAGCGCCACCGTCGCATCCACACAGGGGAGAGGCCATTCATGTGCAATGCGTGTGGACGAACATTCACCGACAAGTCCACGCTTCGGCGGCACACCTCAGTAAGCAGGGGGATGGCTTGTTTTGAGAAACAAGCTGCTGCCCTTAGATACCCGGAACCTAGAGAGAAATACCTACCACCGTTCTGCAAGGTGGTTAGAGGTCGAGACAACAGGTACTTCCTCCTTGGGTTGTCTCTGCAGTGGAACATTCAGAGTGAATGAAGTGGAGCACCAAGCCCCGAGGCCCGGGGAAAAGCACAGTCCACGAGGACGACTGTAACAGTGAGGGTGGTGGCAGGGGGTACTTGTCAGTGAAGGTCGAAAATTGAAGTTGTAGAGGGACTGGTTTTAAAAGATGCATTTGTTCAGAGACACATTCATTGACTCTTATTTTGTGTTTGACTTGTAGATACACGATAAGAATACTCCGTGGAAGTCTTTCCTTGTCATTGTAGATGGCTCGCCCAAGAACGACGACGGGCACAAGATTGAACAGCCTGACGAAGAGTATGTGTCGTCCAAACTTTCAGATAAATTGCTGTCTTTTGCAGAAAATGGCCATTTCCACAACCTGGCTACAGTCCAAGGGACTGTACCTACCATGCAGGACAGTTCTGCAGACACAGCCTGCAAGTCGGACGCCACCGTGGTGTCCCAGGACGCCCTGCTGGCCACCACCATCAGTGAGCTTAGTGAGCTGACCCCACAGACAGACTCAGTGCCCACACAGCTTCACTCTCTGACCAACATGGAATAAGAGCTTCAAGTTAAGTGCCGAGCAGTTCCCATCCTGTTAGGCTGCGTCTGTGGTAGCTGAACTCAAGATGACGTGGGGCTAAGAAAAATAATTGTCCATGTGCAAGGATGTGGGAAGAATGGCCTCTGCGGATTTTCCTGGACTTCTGCTAACTTGCACGGCTTTATCACAGCATTTTTAAAGCTTTCCCTCAAAAATCCTGATCTGCATGATCTCAGCTACACTTTACAAACAAGGCAGTGAACACGACCTCACTTAATTGTGGTGTAAGGTGTGTCAATCGTTCTAAAGCTTACCTTGTTTAGACAACTGCTTGTCTTCATTGCAGAGTACAGAGCACTGAAGCAGCTCCTGCTACTGTCGCTAACAGTCTTCCGGGCTTCTCACCCTGCCTTACATTTCCACGTGGGTTTACTTCTCTCACAACTCCTTTTAAGGCATTTTTCTTCCAAGCTGAAATAAAACTGGGGCCACATATTTTCAGCCATTTTTCCCTGTTGAATTGAAGCAAATCGGATTTTCTGTGGGGACCCTCAGATACAGCTGAAGAAATGGATTGTTGTGTTCATTTCTCCCCACCCCCTATTTGTAGGCGGTCAAGAAGGTATGACAGACTGAACACCTGCACAACTGCTTAGTGTATTCTCAGCACATACGCAGCTAGGGAGTTTGTCATAAAATCAACTTAGAAATGAGATGAGACCAGTCAGTTTCAGTCTTTAAAAAAACCAGATTAGGTAAAAGCTGTCCTACCAAAGAATCTAGCAAAACAGTATAGTATTTTTCTGTAGAGACATGAAAAATTAAGACTTTTAGAGCACTTGAAAGTTGTGTAGTCATTTTATTTGAAAAACGAGGTGACTGTGGCAAACTGTAGAACAGAGTATAATATTTTTGCCAGGTTTTTATGACTTGATTTCTGTAATTTCCAGAAACCCAGACTTTCCCATTTCCACACCTAGAGGTGGAAACAGGCAAGTAACTGACGTGTCTGTTTCCGTGGGAGCATGTGAGAACAGAGCAGAAGAGAAGGAGTCTCAGCACACTTACCTCCGATTGCCTTAAAGAGTTGATTGTGATGAACCAGTAACTTTGTCTCAAATGCTCCTTTGGCTGTTTTATGCAGGACTTAATTATCGCTTTAAAAAATTTACAATGAGGCCGGGCATGGTGACTTATGCCTGTAATCCCAGCACTTTGGGACGCCGAGGCAGGCGAATCACCTGAGGTTGGGTGTTCAAGACCATCCTGGCAAACACGGCAAAATCCCACCTCTACTAAAAATACAAAAATTAGCAGGTGGCACATGCCTATAATCCCAGCTACTTGGGAGGCTGAGGCAGGAGAATCGCTTGAGCCTGGGAGGTGGAGGTTGCACTGAGCCAAGATTACACCATTGCACTCCAGTCTGAGTGAGAGCAAGACTCCGTCTCAGGGGGGGAAAAAAAAAGTCACAATGAAAAGATGCTTCTGCTGTATTTGCTCAATGTTGACATGGTTCTAGGGCCTCGCGTATGTGCCATGTGCTTGTGAAATGCTGATTCACATGTAACATGTAAACATTAATTTAAAAAGAGAACCTTGAAGAATTCTTTTGTTTACTAGTTCCTTTTTTCCCTACATTTTTAATTTATTAAACTTGCTGTGAAAACACTTGGATTTTCTAAGTGGAAGGCATACTTTGTCCTTAAGTTCCAGGGTGAAGATGTAGCTGCACCATGCCAGAAATTACTGAGGGAGACTTTCTTCCTAAGTGCTTCTCTTGTTTTACCTTGAGTGAAACCACTACAAGGTGTTTCAGGCTCTGATCACATGTTTCACACCTGCCCTTGGAGGTCACAGTACTAATTAAAATTTAGTTATGACAGTCACTGTACCCTAGTTATGTTTACAGAAGAAACAGTGACTGTCACACATCGGAGGAGACTGAACCTGCCCAGCTGATATACTGTTTTATGAAATAAAGTCACCTGATCAGAAGGAATTTAAACAATATTTTGTTACCTACTGGAGGGAGTTTTGTCTTGAATTTGTTTCTTTAGAAATTTTACCCAAAAAATGGTATTAATAAATGTCTGCTTTCTAAAAGTAGTTTTGTAATTTTTTAAAAATCCATTTCTTTTATCATTTAGGCTCTGCAGAAACAGGATTCTTAACTGAAACATATAATTTGCTTAATTACATGAATAATGAAGCGTAAACTCAGGGTCCGTAAGCGTTTATTTCACACAATCCCAGGATGAAGCTGTTTAACTGCTGGGATCCCAGTTGGCCTCTGGCAGTGGGATCCTGGAGAGGAGAAATCCCAGCCTCTGCTCAGGCACAGGCCGCAGCCAGGCTGGGGTGCATGTGAGTGCGGTGGAGCTTCCTGCCATTTCTTCAATGTAAAGTAAAGTAGGCATCAAAGATACGACTTCTACTATACGTATTTCTCTGTCCCTGAGAACAGAGAAACCTAACTGTAGGAGACTGGTTACAGGGAACCTCCTGGGCGATGCCCCATTCCTCCAAATCCAAGCACAGCCATGCTGAGTGCAAGTAAGGCCACCCTCTGAGTTGGTTGGTCCCAAGTGTATACTGAGGAAAGTGCCCAGGTGCAGATACACTGCCTCTCCCAGAGCCTCAAGAAAGGCCATTTAGGAGCTTGCTTCAACCATTTTCTGTGAAATACTGTTAGCCCACACTCTAAAGGGATGGACAGCCTTTTGTTTTACCAAATTCTTTATTGTCATTTGGAAAGATGGGCCATGTGGTAGAGACCTTTATTTAAGGTGATTTTTACAGAAATGTGATTTCGCTGTAGGTGATTATCCAAACAAGTAAGTTTGTGTATTATAATTTAATTTTTAAACTGTTAAACCTCGTCGCTCCAAGGAGTTCATTTTTGGGAAATAAGATGGATACTTGTCTATTTAATGAAATATGATATTCATGTACTCAGAAGTGACAATGTTTCATTTGGGAGGAGGGCACTTGTGCAAAGGGCCTTTGTTGACATGGAGCTGCACGGGAGCAGATGTAACTGAGAAAGCCACACAAGTCAGAGGGTCATCTAGCACAGCAGTCCCCAACCTTTTTGGCCCCAGGGACCAGTTTCATGGAAGACAATGTTTTCACAGGTGGGGGGACAGAATGCTTTCAAGATGGTTCAAGTGCACTACATTTACTGTGTACTTTATTATTATTGCACTGTAATATACAATAAAATAATTATAGAACATACTACAATGTACAATCAGTGGGAGCCCTGGGCTTGCTTTCCTGCAACTTGACAGTCCCATCTGGGGGTGATGGGAGACAGTGACAGATATTACAACCTAGATCCCGTGCATGCGCAGTTCAGTAGGGTTTGCACTCCTGTGAGCTCTAATGTTGCCACTTATCTAAAAGACACAAAGCTCTGGCAGTAACACAAGACATGGGAGTGGCTGCAAATAGAGACGAAGCTTCACTCACTGGCCGCAGCTCACCTGCTGCGAGGCCCAGTTTCTGACGCGTTCGGGACCTGTGATCTATCACATCACCCTAAATGAGACTCGGAAATTATCTGCATACCTTTGGCACTCTGTGGACTCTTAAGCTGACAAAACTAGGCCTTTAAACTACCATGGTGGCATCTTCATTAGGAAAATGATTCTGAGAAGAGCAACTTGATGTATGCTCTGAATGATCAACCACTCAGAACGCCTAGATGGGTCAGCTTGTTCTACCATTTAAGACATTTTGCTTGAAGTGTTGTGAATATACTTTAGGACATGAAATCAAGGCTCAATGATAAGATAACAGGATGAGCTAGCCTGCACCACCCCCACATGGGTCCTCTTCCTCACCAGAACTTCAGGCCCAGTGGTCAGTGAGGCTGACCCTTCCCCAGGGGCATCTCCTCTCCCTGTACGGATACTTGCACAATTAAGATACATGTCTACACTGACCAGATAGTTGAGTAGTACTTTCTTGGGGTAGGAGAGTGTCAGGCCTAGGGCTGCCTCACCTCCCCACCTGTCTTCCAGCAACCATGCTTTCCTCAACTTCATAAGTAACTGTAGACCCTAAATGATTCAAGGAAGGGATGAGAATGTGGGGTCTGCAGAATTACGATGTACTTTAGGGGACTGCATCAACAGAAGTAACCAGAGTTTCCTTCTAAGCCCTCAGTCCGCAAAACCATTACAGTGCCCTGGAATTCCCATCAAATGACTGGAGCCTAGAGAATATTAACATCTGTTGCCTTAATCTTTTTTTTTTGAGATACAGTCTTGCGCTCAGTGGTCCAGGCTGGAGTGCAATGGCACAATCTCGGCTCACTGCAACCTCCACCTCCTGGATTCCAGTGATTCCTCTGCTTCAGCCTTCTGAGTAGCTGGGATTACAGGTGTGCGCCACCACGCCCAGCTAAATTTTTTTTGTATTTTTAGTAGAGATGAGGTTTCACCATATTGGGCAAGCTGGTCTTGAACTCCTGACCCCAGATGATCCGCCTGCCTCGGCCTCCCGAATGTTGCCTTAATCTTAATGCGAACAACTGGAAGCAATGGAAGCTACTTTTGACCTATGCCAATTTAGCAAGAAAAGACTTGTCAAAATATTACTGATAATTTCCAATTCACTGTACAGGTTAAAATAAAACAAACATTCTTTCTGCTAAGGTAGATTTATTGTTACACATGGTTAGTTTTCATGATGTAATCCCCTGCCCCAGAGCAACTCAGGGCTCCATGGGGCAGAAGCCTGCTCTTGGTCATAGCTCGTAACACAGCAGGCAGGTCACGGGGGCATGCTGTGCTGCCAAATCCTCCAGAGGAAGTCACAAAGGTTTGCATTTGGACATTTAAATGCACGAAACCAGGAGAAACCAATGCACAAGGGCTGCTGCATATACTTTGGTTACAGTGACCCCACCACACACGGTCACGACTGTGCAAAAATACCGCTTTCAAATCATTAAAGAACTCACACAAGCTATAAAAATGCTGCCACAAAAAGCAAACCTTTCCTGTAAGAAACACTGACTGACTTTGACGATGAACCAACTCCAGATTTGCTAAAGTACAAGAATTGTACCATAATTATATTTTGTTCATAACATTCTATGTCTTGAAGACCTAGCTCACAGGCATCTTAAAACCTGGCACTGTCCTGCATCCACGGGACATGTAAAGCAAGAAGTTCGCACACCACTGACCGGGCTTTTCTCATTCTTTTTTTTATCTTCTGGCAGTTCTATTCCAGCCATTACAATTACTTTGATTCTTTTCATGTGAAATATTAAAAACAAAAATTAATTATTAGCCCAGGAGCTGGTCCCAGTGTTTACTGCAATACAAACAAGTGACTCTCTGACGACAAAATGTCACAAACACTACTGTTAAAAACAGCCCTTCAGACGGCTCTGTTGGGGTGTCATGATTAAAGTCAAACAGAAACGCCCTATAATAAGTCACGCGATTTCACTTTAAGTTGTCAGACCAGAAGATTCTTCAAACAAGTAGAAACAAACTACTCAAGGGCTCGGAACCGCTCCGCACACCCCATTTTCACGAAAGTGCATTTGGCTGGTTGTAGGATATATTATTATGCAAGAAAAAAACCCATTTTTCTCTCTGATCATTTTTTCCTAAGAGATTCTAAAAGGGAGTGAAAAAGTACCAACTGGGCTCCATTCCAGATCTTACCACCAGAGACAGCCAGATCTCATTTAAGCCTCTCAGAACTTGGAAGGAAGGAGGGACCCACGTTAGATTCCAGGGCCCATTGCCAACCCCAGTGGATGCTCTGACTACCAGCCACCTCATGCACGTCACCACCAGAACTATGGCCACCGGATGTGGATCCTCTATCTGGCCTTGGCTGGCCTTTCCCACCAGAACTATGGTCAGCAAGTCCTCGTGGCCACCAGATGTGGATCCTCTATCTGGCCTTGGCTGGCCTTTCCCACTTCATTTCCTGCTACTTTCTCTTTCTTCCTAGACTGACCTACTCACCATTCCTCAAACACCCTGCACTCAACCCTTGGCCTGGAAACACTCACTCTACTTCAGCGCAATAAAATCCTACCAATTCTAGTTGAGAGCCACCAAAAGTGAAAATGTCATTCCAACACTGCTTGCTACTGCCTGACATAACACAGGAAGTTTCGTCACCTGTCATCAGTGAAGATCCGTGTTATCAAAGTGTCTGCTGGGTTAAGTCTTGCAACAAACACATTTCCAATATAAACCATTTAACTATAAAATATGCAAAAGACAGTCACAGGACAAGTCTATGTCTAAAGTACAATATCAGCATATAAAATAATAGAATCAAGTTCATGAATTAAGATAGCACATATATATTATATAAACCAATTAAACATGACAGAGTTCCAACAAGCCAAAATATTCCATCAGCTAAGAGAACAATCAAGTCCCCTGAGAAACAAGTTGGGGTTCTTGCCCACTTGGGCATAAAGTCCACTCCTGTACCACATTCACCCCACCTAATCCATTATGTGCAATAAATGTGAAAATTACGTACATTCATTCTTCAGCCTGACTTAATCTATCCAGGCCTGACCAAGATTTCTATAGCCACAGCAGAGAACACATTGCCTCAATGTAGTATATAAACATGAAAATGATGAGCAGGCTGTGCCAACTGAAACACTCTAACGCAAACATAAAGGGATTTCACTCCAACTACAAGTGAAAACTATCTCCAGAAAAACAGAAAATTCCATTTCTAATAGATCTTGCAGGGTGTGTGTGTGTGTGTGGGTGAGTGCAAATCAAGTTCACTCTGACACTCATCCATACATGAAGCAAGTCCTTCCAGAGAGCTCCTTTCCTCACAGTGTAATGCCTACAGACCCTGGCCATTCTATATTTTTGCCATGCACGTGTTAGCGTACAGAACACAAAAAGCAAAGAAACTAGTCACTAGCACCATCGAAATAATCACAGGATAACAAAAATACAAATGATTTCCAATAAAGTCATAAACTCATTCCTAGTCACTGCCCTAAACTAAACACACATTTAAAGAACATATCCAGATGCCAAAGCACAGAGAAAATGCAAAGCATCTACGAGAACAACTGGGCTGAGTCCTCAAGTCCAACAAAAAGGACATAAAAACACGTGGCAACATTAAACACGGGCTCCACAAACACCAGTGAAATATGAGGAATGAGATTCTCAAGTACTTCGCAGAAAACGCTGGGGGTCTGATAAGCGGGAAACCTATCGTTACCACAAGATGAACAGGAGCCTCCCCTTCATTCACTTCACAGCAATATAGACTCCACAAGTTTAAACAATACACAGGTCGTCTGGCTCATATGCAACAAAATTAAGCCATTAAATGGGCATCCCATAAAGATCACTTGACCCTAAGACAAAACTAAAGAGGAGTTAGCTGCATGCCACGAAGACGGAAACATTTCATTTGAGATCTCCATCTCCTTCTCCATCCCCTTGGATGGACTTTTTGATGCGAAGCAACATGGTGGTCAGCCACTGATCCAAGCGAGATATTGAGTCAAATTCCTTCACCTGGTATAAAAAAGAGGAGCAGGAATCACCCCATGTGATACATTAAAAACAGAAAATAATAGTACCCAAGCTGTCTATACATTTACAACCATCATCCACTTTCCTCAGCATTTGAAATTAATCATTTTAGTTTATAACTTTCTTCACTAAAAACTTGTTTATTTTTTCATTATCCTGTTACTATTTTGATGGTACTAGTGACAGGTTTCTGGGCTTGACATTTCTCTGTTTTCAAACACGTGTATGACAAAAATTCATTATCGGTCATGATTAATGTGACAAAAGAAACAACTTTGTATAAAAATTTTAAAGGAGTATGAAAAATTATACTTCACTGAACATGGGAAAACATTAAGTGCAGAGTTACAATGTCTGGAAGCGGAATTCCTTTCACACATTTCGATACAGTACCACAGATTAAAATTACAATAGGATGAAAATGACAGGGTAGGCAAAAGTTAGGAAAACATTCCTTTCCACTCTTACTCCTGAGCTGGGATGAACATGTTATAGGAGGCTACTGGGAAATTTGCCTGAGGCTGGGTATAGTGGCTCATGCCTGTAGTCCTTGCCCCATGGGAGGCCAAGGCAGGTGAAGAGCTTAAGCCTGGGAGTTAAGAGACCAGCCTGGGCAAAATGGTGAAAACTTGTCTCTACAAAAAATACGAAAACAAAAAAAATTGCTGGGTGTGGTAGTGTGCACCTGTATTCCCAGCTATTGAGGAGTCTGAGGTGGGAGGCTCTCACCTGAGCCAAGGAGATTGAGGCTACAGTGAGCTGTGATCACCCCACTGCACTAAAGCCTGAGTGACAGAGTGAGGCTGTTTCAAAACATATTAAAAAATTATTTTTGCTTGATTCTAAATATGAGATGGCAAAAGATGGAAAAACAAATATAAAGAAAAAAACTTTCATTTTAAAAAAGATTTTTATTTATTTTTTATTTATATATTTATTTCTGAGATGGAGTTTTGCTCTTGTCCAGGCTGGAGTGCAATGGAGCGATCTTGGCTCACTGCGACCTCCACCTCCTGGGTTCAAGCGATTCTCTGCCTCAGCTTCCCAAGTAGATGGGATGACAGGCACACTCCACCACACCTGGCTAATTTTTGTATTTTTAGTACACACGAGGTTTCGCCATGTTGGCCAGACTGGTCTCAAACTCCAGACCTCATCATGATGCACCTGCCTCGGCCTCCCAAAGTGCTGGAATTACAGGCATGAGTCACTGCGCCTGGCCACCTTCCATTTATTTTATGCCATAAATAGAGCAAATTCTCACTAGTTTTTATATTTTAAATTATATTTAACTAATTTTTTTTTGAAACACAGTTTCACTCTATCACAGGCTGGAATGCAGTGACTACAACCTCTGCCTCCCAGGTTCAAGCGATTCTCCTGTCTCAGTCTCTCGAGTAGCTGGGATTACAGGCGCACGCCACCACACCCAACTAATTTTTGTATTTTTAGTACAGACAGGTTTCATCATGTTGGCCAGGATGGTCTCGATCTCTTGACCTCTTCATCCACCCACCGTGGCCTTCCAAAGTGCTGAGATTACAAGTGTGAAACACTGCGTTCAGCCTTCGTCCAGTAACAAATTTTACTTTATACTTACTTATAGGTCAGATTATTTTCAAAAAAAAAAATTGAAATGGCAAATTATAAGAATATATATGGAATATTTGCTCCTGAACTCGTTTCACAGCTAAATTAGTTTTAAGTATAAGTCAGGAAACAGCACTGAATACAACTAGAATCTCAGCATGGCTGACGGACCTGTTTGATTTGTGCAAATAGATAAAAGGTGACCTTTGGAAAATACAACTTAGGTATGCCGGAGTCATATTCAAATAAATGTTTAGAATTTACATAATGCAAAGAAGTTTCTCTAGCTTAAATCCTCAAATAATGTCCCATGTCCCAAAAGCATAACTTACGGCTTCCGTGTAAGCTTCACTGTTCTGTTCTTCATGAGCTTCTAGGAGTTTCTGGTAGCATAAAAATATTTTTAAAAAAACACTTTTGTAAGATGAAGTCCCATTTCTAAATAAACACTTTAAGTGTAGCACTGATGTCGCCAATACTGCACGCTGTTGAGGAAATACTCAAATACAAGACCCAAGTTAGGGATCTAGCTCCTGTACCAGCATTTCTGAGTTGCCTATTTCAGAACACAGCTATATATTCCTGACCTTAGTTGCATCTGAATACCTATAATGCCAAAGCAGGAAGGTACCAGGGCCCTTCAGTTGGCAGACTTCACAGATTCAACTTCACCTCATACCCAGTCCCACTTAGGGGCTGCCACCTGACAGAGTAAAGGCATTTTTCTTCAAAGTCCTAATATTACTTACTTTCAATAATTTACATTCTCTTGAATCAGTAAATGCTGGAAACATTTCCTCATATTTCTCAAGAGCAAGCTGAAAGAGAAAAACCACTCATCAATATCAGACTTACTAAACAAACAACGCTTTTGGCATTCTATCAGCTTCAAACAGGATCTACCTATGTGCTATTAAGTGTTGAAGAAGTATATGGTTAAACTCAACAGCAGAATCCACAAGAAAATCTATCTATTCTGAATTTTCCATTTCAATTAATTTCTAAACCATTTTTTTCCTGAGTTAGGCAGCTGCAGAGAAGACAGTATAAACGAAAACGAATTCTTCAGCACTCACAGACCAGGTATCTGTGTCCATTCATTAAATGGAGAAGCTCTTAATACAGTCCAGATTCCAAATCAATTACATCCAGCTTCCTGCTTGAGGCTGGCAGAAAACACTTTCTCTCAGCAGCTGGAGTTCTGCTCTTCCAGCTCCATACACTGGCCACACCAAGGCTGCCTGTCTTTGCCTCCTGGCTCCCCATGCTCACTGTGCTTTCCGACTTCTTCCCAGTCGTCACTCGAACACCACTTCTGAGCTTGTTTTTTTGTTTGTTTTTAAAAAAGACATTATCCTACTTTTATAGTCTCCCCCACTTAGTTCTTTAATTTTTTTTTTTTTTTCCTCAGACTGAGTCTAGCTCTGTCACTCAGGCTGGAGTGCAGTGGCGCAATCTCTGCTCACTGCAACCTCCGCCTCCTGGGTTCAAGTGATTCTCCTGGCTCAGCCTCCCGAGTAGCTGGACCTACAGCCACTCACCACCACACCCAGCTAACTTTTTTTATTTTTGTATTTTTAGTAGAAATGGGGTTTCACCATATTGGCCAGGCTGGTCTTGAATTCTGACCTCAGGTGATCCACCCACCCTGGCTCCCAAAGTACTGAGAAGAGCCACCACACTTGGCCCCTTAATTTCTTTAAAGCAAAACTACTAAAGAAAAAAATGTGTTTACAAGTAAACATATACATATATTTAAGCCAAAAGCACTAAGTATTCCCAAGCAGTCTCCCACTCAAGTACCAGGCTCTACACTGCTTAGCTTCTGAGATCAGACAAGAGTGGGCATATTCAGGGTGGTATGACTGATAACTACCAGGTAACTTTAGAGAACAGCTTTGACAGCTGTTAAAAGATTACAACTGGGACACATACCACAGAATAATACTTATTTTTAGCGTACCCAGTTTATTCTTGTTACAAACATCCAAATGAAATGACAAGAACAAGAGAGAATGTGTGCATGTCCTGAGGCCTGAAATCTGACGGTCAGTGCTGGGGACTCCTCACCTTGGCATTCAGCTCGTCCACTATGAAGTGGCAGAGGGCGGCTTTGAAGAAGTAATCCTTCGCACTGTACTTCAACAAAGGATTATCCATCGTGTTTGCCCCAACCTAGGCACACAAGAGAGGTTAAACTTAAAAGGTTCACCCTCTTATATCAGGCAAAGTCATTCTCATCAGCTGTCCTTCAGAAAATAATTACATATGCTAGTTTAGCTATGAAATATATTCTTTTAAACCAATACATATACTAGAAATTTTAGTAGACAAGACCGTTAAATACATGAAGTCTTAACCAGTTAAAAATGGATCAGAAGAATTCTGCTTCCAAGAAGACGGAGTGAACATCCTTTCCCTGTTCCTCCCACTAAGCACTACTGGCCCAGGACATTTTCTAAAAAAACAAACATCTTTGACAGGTGGACAGAAAGTGGCAGAGCAGTTAGGAATGAAAACGTGGTACATTCCCTGGGCTTTCTTTTCCCTTCCTATATCCCTGGCAAGAAACTGAGGACTCAGCAACCCAGAAATGCCAGTAGGCACAGACCAAAAGAGAACAGACAAAAGCTGCTCTCTCTGGCCAAAGGACTAGAAAAGGGGCACATCAGCAAGAGAGAAAACACTTAAGACAATAACCGCTCTACCCCAGCCAAACACCGCAGAAAACTGAGGCTCTAACCCCACTGACATCATCAAAAGCTGAAGAAGGAATCCTGAAGTCTCTTCCCGAAAGACTGTAAGAAGGACCCTAATACCTCTCCTGAGGAGCTTCAGATAAGGCCAAATAGGGAGCTGAGGCTTCATACCCACCCAACACCCTGCCACTAAGGCAGTGCAGACCACACTGGGAGCCTGAATCCTGGCTCTACCCAGCAGGAATGAGGTTCTCCTTTCCCCAGCTGGCGTGCTGTCAGAAGAGGTCTAGTGGAAGGTGAAGACTTTCACCATCGCCAAGAACAAACCAGCACTGTGCTGGCAGAAACGGGTAAGAAGAGGGGATGCCACTTCTGCCCAGGGATGACTGGGCCCCTCAGGTGTCAACAGAGACCTGGTGGGGAGATGACACTTCTCCCTCCACCTGGCAGTAATGAGGCAACATCCCCACCTCGCCCAGCCAGAGGAGTGTCAAAGAGGGCCAGATGAAAGAGAAGTTTTAACTAAGACCCAGCCTCATAACCTAATGTGCAAATGCCGTTTTCAATCAGAAATGACTCGTAATACCAAGCACACAGGAGGATCTCAGGCTAAATGAAAAAAGACCGTTAACAGATGATGGCTCCAGATGACGGAAATGTCCAAAATATCCAACAAACATTTTAAAGCAGCCCTCATAAAAATGCTTCAACGAGCAATTACAACAACACTTGAAACTAATGGAAAAACAGAAAGCATCCACAAAGAAAGAGGAAGCCACAGGAAAAACCTACAAGATATAAAGTAAAAACAGATGAAAATTTCAGAACTGAAAAAAATAGTACCATACATAAAAAATGGGAGGGCTCAAGAGCAGGATAAAGGAGACAGAGGAAAGAAGCAGTGAATGCAAGACAACAGGAACAACAAAGAGAAGACAGACTGACAAAAAACGGAACATCAGGGACCCACAGGTTGATAGAATAGTGTCTTAGTTCTGTGGCATCTGTGTTCTAGATGGGGAGGAGAAGGAGAAAGGGACTGTCTGAGTGCCATGGTTCATGCCTGTAACCCCAGCACTCTGGGAAACTAAGGCAGGTGAACTACTTCAGGTCAAAAGTTTTAGCCCAGCCTGACCAACATGGCAAAACCCTGTCTCTACTAAAAATCCAAAAATTAGCCAGGCCTGGTGGCGAGCAACTATAGTCCCAGCTACTTGGGAGTCTGAGGCAGGAGAACTGCTTGAACCTGGGAAGCAAAGGTTACAGTTAGCCAAGATTGCGCCACTGCACTGGCGCGCCTAAGCAAGAGAGCAAGACTCAGTCTCAAAAAAAAAAAAAAAAAGGAGGGGGAGGAGCTGAAAAAGTACTTGAAGAAATAACTGCTAAACAATTCTCAAATTTGACAAGAAACATAAACCTACATATTCTATAAGTTTAGTGAAACTCAAATCGCTTAAAACCAAATATATCTCTTCAATATCATAATTAAACTTCTGAAAACTAAAGACAAATAAAAAAATTATAAAAGTGTCCAGAGAATAACACCTTTTTTATAGGGAAAAACAAGCTGAATGGCAGCTGACATCTCATCGAAAACCATGGAAGCTGGCTGGGCATGGTGGCTCATGACTGGAATCCCAGCACTTTGGGAGGCGGAAGTGGGTGGATCACTTGATGTTAAAAGTTGGTAAAACCAAGGAAGCCATAAAGTACACATTTTTCAAACTAAAGGAAAAGAACAATCAACTTAGACTTGTACTCCCAGAGAAACTATGTTTCAGAAATGAAGGCAAAATCAAAACATTTCCAAGTAGAGGAAAATTAAGAAAAATTCTCAGCAAACCTACCCTAAAATGACAAAAGAAGGTTCTCTAAGTGGAAAGGACACAGTAATTTTGGAACATCAAGAGGAATAAAGAACATGAAGCAAAAATGTGGATAAATATAACAAGATTTCCTTCTTGAGTTTTCTAAATTATGTTTGATGGCTGAAACAAAAATCCTAACATTGACTCCTGTGGTTCTAAATGTATGTAAAGGAAACATTGAGACAACTACATATTGAATAGGGAGAGTAAAAGAACAGAAAGAGAGGTAAGATTCTATATTTCACTAGAACTGATAAAATAATGACACTATGAATCTGTGACAAAGTTATGTATATATAATGTAATACCTAGAGCACTTAACCACAAAAGTTATGTATATATAATGTAATACCTAGAGCACTTAACCACAAAAGTTATGTATATATAATGTAATACCTAGAGCACTTAACCACAAAAGTTATGTATATATAATGTAATACCTAGAGCACTTAACCACGAAAGTTATGTATATATAATGTAATACCTAGAGCACTTAACCACGAAAGTTATGTATATATAATGTAATACCTAGAGCACTTAACCACGAAAGTTATGTATATATAATGTAATACCTAGAGCACTTAACCACAAAAGTTATGTATATATAATGTAATACCTAGAGCACTTAACCACAAAAGTTATGTATATATAATGTAATACCTAGAGCACTTAACCACAAGTTATGTATATATAATGTAATACCTAGAGCACTTAACCACAAAAGTTATGTATATATAATGTAATACCTAGAGCACTTAACCACAAGTTATGTATATATAATGTAATACCTAGAGCACTTAACCACGAAAGTTATGTATATATAATGTAATACCTAGAGCACTTAACCACGAAAGTTATGTATATATAATGTAATACCTAGAGCACTTAACCACGAAAGTTATGTATATATAATGTAATACCTAGAGCACTTAACCACGAAAGTTATGTATATATAATGTAATACCTAGAGCACTTAACCACAAAAGTTATGTATATATAATGTAATACCTAGAGCACTTAACCACAAAAGTTATGTATATATAATGTAATACCTAGAGCACTTAACCACAAGTTATGTATATATAATGTAATACCTAGAGCACTTAACCACAAAAGTTATGTATATATAATGTAATACCTAGAGCACTTAACCACAAGTTATGTATATATAATGTAATACCTAGAGCACTTAACCACGAAAGTTATGTATATATAATGTAATACCTAGAGCACTTAACCACGAAAGTTATGTATATATAATGTAATACCTAGAGCACTTAACCACGAAAGTTATGTATATAATGTAATACCTAGAGCACTTAACCACGAAAGTTATGTATATATAATGTAATACCTAGAGCACTTAACCACAAGTTATGTATATATAATGTAATACCTAGAGCATTTAACCACAAACGCTACACAAAGAGATATACCATTGATTCTCCAACAACACGGGTTTGAACTGTGTGAATCCACTTATACATGGACTTTTTCAAACAAATGTGGATTGAAAATACAGTATTCTTAGGAATTCAACACCCACGTAAATGGAAGGCTGACTTTTCATATATGTGAGCTCCACGGGGCTGACTGTGAAACTTGACTATGCACAGATTTTGGTACAGGAGAGAAGTCCTGGAATTAATACCCTGTAGACAAGGAGGAATAACTGTGCTTAGAAACTAGAAAATCAAGTAGGCTGGGCACAGTGGCTCATGCTTGTAATCCTAGCACTTTGGGAGGCCATGGTGAGCAGATCACTTGAGCTCTGGAGTTCAAGACCAGCCTGGGCAACATAGCAAAACCCTAACTCTACAAAAAATAGCCAGGTGTGGTGGTGCATGCCTGTAGTCCCTGCTATTCCGGAGGCTAAAGTGGGAGGACTGCTTGAGCTTGGGAGGTGGAGGCTGCAGTAGGCCAAGACTGCACCATTTCCCTGCAGCCTGGGTGCAGAGTAAGACAGAGTGAGACCCAGTCTCCAAAAAAAATAAAAAGCAACTCACAAAAAGGTTAGAAAAAGAAAACAGAGAAACAAAAAGCAAAGAACAAATAGAAAGCAGAAAATAAAATTGGCAGAAGGAAGAATTAAGCCCTAACATACCAATAACTTCATTGGCACAGTGGATTAAAAAACAGGATCCAGGCCAGGTGCGGTGGCTCACAACTGTAATCCCAGCACTTTGGGAGGCCGAAGCAGGCAGATCACCGAGGTCAGTCCGAGACCAGCCTCGCCAACATGGTAAAACCCCATCTCTACTAAAAATACAAAAATTAGCCAGGCGTGACAGCACATGCCTGTAATCTCAGCTATTCAGGAGGCTGAGGCACAAGAATTGTCTGAATGTGGGAGGTGGAGGGTTGCGGTGAGCTGAGATCAAGTCACTGCACTCCAGCCTAGGTGACAGAGCAAGACTGTCGAAAGGAAAAGGGAAAGGAGGAAGAAAAGAAATAAGATCAGCAAGTTTATAAAAGAACTCAACAATGCCATCATCCAACAGGAGCTAATCAACATTAATAAACATTACCCAGTAACAGCATAATTGTTACAGCATATCCAGGAGACAGGAGAGACCAATGGGTGACACAGGAGGATTTTATGAAGGTGGCCACCGGCTCAGCGGATCAGCATCCCAAGTCTGAGCCCCGGAGAGGAAAACGGGGTACTTTTATACATCCAGGATGACGCAGCAGCTAACAGGTTTACAGAAGTCAGAATCAAGAACAGTTAATTAATTTGTCTTATGATGTACATTACATTTCAAAAATAGCACTTTGAGAAATGCATTGTACATTCTTTGGGTGTTATCTTGCCCTGTGCTCTTGCGGCTGGTCAGCAAGAAAAACAGGAGTCTTGACATGTCTGGGAATTTGCTGAGAATGTAGAGCAAACAGACAAGGTAGGTTTTATATTAAACAGCACACAACAGAGCAAAATTTATTATATAGCGACTACAAATTATAAGGTTTTGTTTTTATTATTATTGCCATTATTTCTCTTCTTCATAATCATAAAACATATGCCAGGACAGACCACTTTCTAGGCCATAAAAAAAGTCTCAACAAATGTGTAAGAATTAAAATCACACAAAATATGTTCTCTAACCACAGTGGAATCAAACGAGAAGGCAACAACCAAATGATTACAGAAAAATCTCCACTAAACACTTGGAAATTAAACAAAACACTAATTAGTAATCCATGGGTCACTGACGTTTCAAGAGAAATCAATAAATACAACTAACTGGATAAAACTAAAAGTACGATGACATAATAAACTTAGGAAGTGGCTGGGTGTCGTGGCTCACACTTGTAATCCCAGCACTTTGGGAGGCCGAGGCGGGTGGATCACGAGGTCAAGAGATCGAGACCATCCTGGTCAACATAGTGAAACCCCGTCTCTACTAAAAATACAAAAAATTAGCTGGGCATGGTGGCATGCACCTGTAGTCCCAGCTACTCAGGAGGCTGAGGCAGGAGAATTGGCTGAACCCAGGAGGCAGAGGTTGCCGTGAGCCTAGATCGCGCCATCGCACTCCAGCCTGGGTAACAAGAGGGAAACTCCGTCTCAAAAAAAATAAAATAAAATTAGGAAGTAAGCCAAACCTGTGAAAGGATAAATGCATATACAACAAAGATGAAAATCAGCAAGCTATACTTCCACCTTAAGTACCCAGAAAAAGAGAAAAACAAATCCAAAGAAAACAAAATGGAGAAAATAACAATGAAAACAGAAATCTGAGGCCAGAAGTACCTTGATTCCAAAACCAGATAAAGATACCACAAGAAAACTAACAATCAACATCCTTTATGAATATAGATATAAAATCCTCAACAAAATGTTAGCAAAGCAATTCTGGCACTTAGAAAAAGTGAAGTCAGCCACAAAGGTAGTCAACATCTATGTCACTGGTTCCCAAAAAAACTCAGGACGTCGGGTTTAGGGGAGCTTCCCTGGCTAGGGAAAATAAGCAGCTTATTTTCACTCACCACTGTTGGGGGAAGTCAGTGCTGTTCATGTAACTCCACTAAGATAGGACAACTAAAGCTCTTTCTGGAAGTCTTCTGGACCCTGCCCTATGAGTGTCCCCTTTCAATGATTTTAATCCGTATCCTTTTGCTGTGATAAACCATAACTGTGAGTGTAACAGCTTTCAGTGGGTTTTGTAAGTTTGTCTAACTAATTATTCAACTTGCGGGTGTTCTTGGGAAACCCCTTAAAGTTTGCAATGACCAAGCTGAATTTATTCCAGAAATGTAAGGTTGGTTCAACACATGAAAATCAATCAATGTAATATACAATGTTACACTGATCAGGACATATGCTAACTCAATAGATGCAGAAAAAACTTTGACAAAGAACAAAAGCCATACGCTTATCTCAGCAGACACAGAAAAAAGTCTGACAAATGAAGGACAAAAACCATGTTTATCTCAACAGACACAGAAAAAATGTCTGACAAAATCCAATACCCTTTGATAATGAAAACACTCAACAAACTAGGAAGAGGGGGAAATTTCCTCAAACTGATAAAGGCATTTACGAAAACCACACAGCTAATATCAATATCATACTTAATGTGAAAGACTAAAGTTTTCCTTACAAGATCAGGAGCAAGACAAGGGTATTCAACACTGCCCTGGGGATTCTAGCCAGGGCAACTGACAAAATGAAGTAAAATACATTCAGACTGCAGAGGAAGAAGTAAAACTATTGTTATTTTCAGGTAACATGACTTTGGATATAGAAAACCTACGGAATACTCATAAAAAAACCTACTAGAGCTAATAAACAAGTTTGGCACGGTTGCAGGACAAAAATTGATATAAAAATTCAACTGTATTTCTATACACTAGCAATTAACATTCCTAAAAGGAAATTTTAAAAATTCAATTTGTAGTAGCATAAAAAAATAAAATACTTTAGAGTACATTTCACTCAAAAAGTACAAACCTTGTACACCGAAAACTACAAAACATTGTTGAGCAACATTAAATACTGATCTAAATAAATTTACAAAGCATTGTGTATTCATAGACTGTCAGAGTTAGTATTGTTAAGATGGCAACACTCTCTGTGATGACTGATTTTGTGTCAACTTGAGTGGGCTACGGGGTGCCCAGACATCTGGTGTTATTCTGAGTGTGTCTGTGGGTGTTTCTGAAGGAGGTGAACATTGGAATCAGTACGATGAGTAAGCAGGTTGCCCTCCCCAATGTGGGTGGGCCTCATCCAATCTAATGAAAACGTGAATAAAATAAAAGGCAGGGAGAATTCATTCTCAATGCCTGTCTTAGAGGCAGGACATGTATTCTCCTGCTTCAGACTTGGACTCGGACTAGAACTTACACCATCAACTCTCCTGGTTCTGAGGCCTTTGGATTTGGGCTGGAGCTATGCCACTGGCTCTCCTGGTTCTTCAGACCGCAGATCGTAGGCCTTCTCAGCCTATACAATCAAGTGAGTCAATTCCTCACAGTAATTTCTCTCTAAACACACACACACACACACACACACACACACCCCTACGCCTCTTACTGATTCTGTTTCTTGGAAAACCCTAAAACACTCTCCAAATTTATCTACACATTCCATACAATCCCTATCAAAATCTAAGCTGGATACTTTGCAGAGATTGACAAGCTGATCATAATATTGGATGAAAATGCAAGGGATCAGGAACAGCCTACACAATTCTGAAAAAGAACAAAAAGTTGAAGGACTCATATTTCCTGACTTTAAAACTTACTGTAAAATTACAGTAATAAAAACAGTGCAATACTGGCATAAAGATAGATAAATAGACCAATGGAATAGCAAGCCCATAAATAAACCCTCATATTTCGTACAGTGAAATAATTTTCCACAAGGGTCCTAATGCCACTGAATAGTTAAAAGATAGCCTATTCAACAAATGATGCTAGGAAAACTGGATATCCATATATAAAAGAATAAAGTTGGACCCTTACCTCATACTACATACAAAAATGAACTCAAAATGGATAAAAGACCTAAACCTAACAGCCACAACTGTACAATTCTTAGAATAAAACAGAAGGGAAAAGCCTCATAATATCAGATTTAGCGATTATTTCTTATAATATAACAACAAAAGCCAGGCAAAGAAAAAAAGACAAATTGGACTTCAGGAATGTTAAAGACTTCTGTGACTCGAAGGACATTAATAACAGAGTAAAGAGACAACCTACAGAATGAGAGTAAATACTTGCAAATCACCTATCTGATAAGGGATTAATATCCAGAACATATATTATTTTAGAACACCTAAAACTCACCACCAAAAAACAAAAAACTTAATTAAAATCCGGAGAAAGTACTGGAATAGACATTTCTCCAAAGATATACAAATGGCCGATAAGCAAACAAGAAGACGCTCAACATCACTAGTTGTTAGAGGAGTAACCAGAAAAAACAGAATGAGACAACATTTCACACTCATCAGAGTGACTATTACTAACAAAAGACACGTGCTGGTGAGGACGTGGAGGAATGGAAACGCTGTGCATTGCAGGTGGGAAGGTGTCACGGTGCAGCCGTTGCGATAGACTCAGGCGGTTCCTCAAAAACGTTAAACGTGGACTTACCACACGGCCCAGCAACTGTGACTCTATTCCCAGGGATATAACAAGAGAACTGAAAACACCCCCACAAAAATTGTAACACAAATGTTCACAGCAGCATTATTGATAATAGCCCCAAAGTGGAAAAACCCCAAACATCCATAAACTGATGAATAAATAAGCCAGGAGGTATTACTCAGCCATGAAAAACAATGACATCCTGACATTTGCTACAGCATGGATGAACCCTGAAAGCAACACACTAAGTGAAAGAGGGCGGTCACAAAAGGCCACCTTGTATTTGATTTCATATATATTCAATGTTCAGAACAGACAAATCCATATAGTCAGAAAGTAGATTGTGTCTTCCAGGGACTAGAAGGAGAGAATGGACTGCTAGCCTTCTTTTGGGGATGCTGAAAATGTTCTGGAATTAGGTGGTAATGACGGTTATATAACTTATGACTAGACTAAAAACCACTGAACTATACTCATTACAGGATGTGTGGATTACATCTCAATAAAAAGTTTTAACAAATGACTCAGAAAATTTCTCTCCGAGAAAACAGCAATATCCTCACCTGCTCATAGATCTCGATGGCTTTCTGGTACTGCTCGAGCTGGGCGGCATATGCTGCCACCTTCAGCAGACACTTGTTTGCTGAGCTGAAATCAAGAACAAAAGCAGAGTGAAGAACGAGCCAACGGAAAATAAAAGATGTGTGCTGGGCCTTAGCACGTCTTCAATGGTATAGTCAAACACACGCTCAAAGTATGAAGAAGTATCTTTTATCACACATAATAAAACCTATTAAATTATATTAAGAAAAGCAATACTTGCCTGTTGGATTCCTCTCCTTTGTAATAATCAGCAGATTGTTCATAATGTGCAATAGCCTGAAAACATACATATTTTATTCACACACAATTTATTTGGAGAGTTGCATTTCAAAACTACATTTGCATAGGTATTTTTTCTGTAAATAAATCTACTCCACAAGTAAACTTTTCACAACTCAGCCTACTTTCTTTAGGAAATACAAGAAAGCATGTAAGCAGAATGCTTGCTGGCCATCAAACTCTGTTTCTCACTCCCCATGTGGCATATGCCCAGCTACACCATTTCCTCAGCTTCCTCTACAGTAAGGGGCAGCCTGTGCCTAGTTCTCTCCAGTGGAATGTAAACAGACAGGCAAGGGGCCATATATCTCACTCTGCATCCTTCTCCAGGCCTTTTCCACTTCCCATGAGGTAGGATGGCAATGACCAAGTCCAGAGTGACACTGGAAGCTAAACATCCAAATGGCAGAACTGTCAGGCGGGTTCCTAGGTAAGTACAAAGGACACTGCACCTCCCATCCCAGTGTCCCTACCACTGTCAAACCCTCAGCAGCCACGCTGGATTGTTATTTTAGAGAAATATGAAGCCCTAATTACACTTTAGGTCTATGACTTGCAGCAAAGACTACCCCTACTAATACCTTATGTGTCACCTAGAATAAGGGTGTCGCCTTCAATCTAAAATACATGGCATTAAGTGGAGAGGAAACAGAGGTCACAGGTCAGAAAGCCAGAAGTCCCTGTCATGCTGTGATGGAAGTCAGTGAAATCAAGCATGTGACAACTCAGAAGAAAGAACAGGTGCCCACCAAAACTAAGCAAAACTTTGGCCGGGAGGAGCCAGATGATAGCGTGTACCACTATTTTCAGCACAGTTTTGTGAGCTCAACTCTGGAAAGAATCAGCTGGTTTGCAGACAGTTGTAAAACGGAACAGACAATGTCTAGAAATAAGGCTCTCGTAAGATTGAAAAACACCTTCTATACCCCAAATAACAAGAGGTAAGTATGAACAGTTCTTGAAACCAGGGCTCTAGCAAAGTTTTTCTCTAATAGGTCAGACAATAAATAGTTTAGAGTGTGTGAGCTAGACAATCTTTGTTGCTACTCAGCTCTCTTGTGGTAGCATAAAAGCAGTTATAGACAATAGATAAATGAGTAAGTGTGGTTGTGTCCCAATAGAGTTATATTAACAATGAAAGTTCTGATTTCACTTAATTTTTATGTGTTGCAAAATGCTTTTTTGTCTCAAGGATCAAAAACTGTAAAAACAATTTTTAGTGTGCAAGCATACAGAAGCAGGTAGTGGTTCTGCAGACTGCTTAAATTACAAAGGTTTCCCAGCAAATGCAAATGAGGGAGCTAGCAGTCTTCGAAAATCAGATTAAAGGTGCTGCCTTCCTGCCCAAGACCATTAGTTCAGTGGCTTCAAGACAGTTCCTAGGAGTTAGAAGAGAGCCACAGGGACAAGAAAACAAATAAAACAGAACAGGCCATGGAACTGTGTTAGAAAATGACTTAGACCATCAAACCCCAGGCCCCCACCTCCCTGCAGATGGTGGTGATAACCAAGAGCAGAAGCAGAGCCACCAGAAGGCACAGGCTAGAAGTGACAGAGCCAACATCAGCCTCTCCGGACTGCAGAGGACCCCTGCCTAGAACATTCACACTGAACAGTTCTGTGAAAAACAGGCACTTAGACTGTGTTTATATGATTACATTCTGGATCCACGATTTCAGTCATTTAGCACAACCTAACTAACATGCTCCCCAAACACACACATTTTTAAGCATTATTTAGACTAGGACAAAAAGTGGAAAAAATTTAAGTGCTTAAATATAATGGGATACTGTGCTATGATTAAAGGTAACTGATAGAAAGCGTTAATATAAAAAGTTTTTCTTTCTTTTTTTTGAGACAAGGTCTCATTCTGTTGCTCTGGCTGGAGTGGCATAAGCAAAGCTCACTGTAGCCTTGACCTCCTGGGCTCAAGCAATTCTCCCACCTCAGCTTTCCAAGTAGCTGAGACTACAGGCATGTGTCACCATGCCCAGCTAATTTTTAAATTTTTCATACAAATGAGGTATTTTCATTGTTGCCCAGGCTGTTCTCAAGCTCCTGGGTTCAAGCATTCCTCCCATCTTGGCCTCCCAAATGCTGCAATTACAGGAATGAACCATCATGCCTGGCCTTCACGGAATATGAATTTTTAAATGCAGCTATAAAAGAAAAGGGACACTATGGTCCTCTTTTCTGCAAATACTTAGTAACACACAGAAATAGTCTGGAAGCAAATATTTCTTTGGAGCACCTGTCAGAGCTGTCACGTACATACACGTGGGACTACCTGATGAAGGTGTGTCTCCTCTCACTAAAATGTGAGCTCTGTGAGGGCAGGGCCCATGACTGTTTGGCTCATCATCAGAGCCCCCGACCTCGCACGAAGGCTATTACAGAAGTGGGTGCTCAGTAGCAGATGCTAAGTGAACGAAGGTCAAGTGCACCCCGAATGAAGGCTGCCTACTAAACTACTGCCAATATCATGATTATGCGGCATGCTCAGGAAATAAAAGTTTTCCAGTGAATTTATGACCAATCAATAACCTCCTTTAAACTAGCCTCATTCGCTAAAGTGCTTAGCATCCCTGCCCATCATAATAAACTAGGTAAGTCATGATAAATCTGACCAAGTCTTTCTGCGAAGGGTACTGGATTACATGACCTCTTTTCAGGGCAGACAGAGCATAGCTACTTATCTTCCTAATTCTTATAGCACCAGAACTCAATGAATAAATAGGGTTGGGTTAAACCATATGTAACTGCTGCTTTCAAGATAAAAAAGAAAAGGCTAGATGTTGATAATCTGGTGTAACTTAACACTTTGCCAATAATGGCACTGCTCATTAGAATTTTACAGATGTAAACTACAGCTGCATTTATCATAGTGAAAGAAAAAATTTCAAGTTTGGTTTTTAATAATGCTAATTAAAACCAATCACTAAATTCCACAGTTTTCCCAAGTTATGACAGATCGTACTTGAAAAAAAAAAGCACAATTCACTGGTTTAACAGAGAAGAGATCAGCCACACATTACCACTAAATGTTCACATCTCGTTTGGAATTTTAACATGGAGTAAAATGTACCAGCTACGAGCAGATCCTTACACACCAGAAATCAGCCCACCTAGGTATCTGACAATCCCAAGGACTATAATAAATATCAAAAGCAGAACACAGCCACCATAACAACAGCACACATAACAATAAATCCAGACACAAAGACCAGCTAGTTATCCTGTTATTTAAGTAGAGGGCCAAAGAGGTCACAACACTTGCACTGGGGGCACCTCAATGAGTGTCACGATATGTGGAATTCTGGAAGAAACAGGGCCCTGATGACTATACCAGTGATGCCACAAAGCAAATGCAGGTTCCAGGCTTAAGAGTCCACTACGCATGTGAAATAGTCTTCAGTAGATTCTTTAGAACAAATGCACCCGGATGAGACCTGACATAAATCTGCCACATACACCTATCCTAGGCTGTAACAAACAGTATTAAATAAGGCTCTCCAGAGGATGAAGACAGAATTGAATTATATTTCCTCTAGATCATTTAAAAAATCATCTAAAGAGGACCCATTTATTATGTGGTTTAGTGATTTAAAGTAAAAGAAGTAATGTGGGAAGGTGAAAGATCTCTACAATGAGAATTACACAACACTGCTCAAAGAAATCAAAGACACAAGCAAATGGAAAAACATCCCATGCTCATGGATAGAAAGAATCAGTATCATTAATAGGGCCATACTGCCCAAAGAAATTTATAGTAAATGCTATTCCTGTTAAACTACCAATGATCTTCTTCACAGAACTAGAAAACACTATTTTAAAGTTCATGTGAAATAAAAAAATAGCCTGAATGGCCAAAGCATCCCTAAGCAAAAAGAACAAAGCTAGAGGCATCATGTTACCTCACTTCAAACTGTACTACAGGGCTACAGTAACCAAAACAATATGGTACAACAGACACACAGACCAATGGACCAGCATAGAGAGCCCAGAAATAAGGCCACACACGTACAGCTATCTGATCTTTATCAAAGCTGATAAAACAAGAAATGGCAAAGACTTCCTATTCAATAAACGGTGCTGGGATAACTGGCTAGCTATATGCAGAAGATTAAAGCCGGACCCCTCCCTTACACCATATATAAAAACAGACTCAAGATTGATTAAAAACTTAAACGTAAAACCTAAAATGATAAAAATCTTAGAAGACAACCTAGGCAGTACCATTAGGGACACTGGAACAAGCAGATTTCATGACAAAGACACCAAAAACAATTGCAACAAAAACAAATGTTGATACATGGAACTTAAGAGCTTCTGCACAGCAAAGAAACTATCGACAATGTAAACAGACAGCTTAAGGATGGAAGGACATGCTTGCAAACTATGTATCTGACAAAGCTCTAATATCCAGCATCTACAAGGAAATTAAAAATTTGCAAGAGAAAAACAACTTCATTAAAAAGCGGGCAAAGGACACGAACAGACACTTTTCAAAAGAAGACATATATGCAACCAACAAGCACTTGTTAAACATCAGTATCATTAGAGAAATGCAAATCAAAACTATAATGAGATAGCATCTCACACCAGTCAGAATGCCTATTATTAAAAAGTCAAGGGCTGGGCATGGTGGCACATGCCTGTGATCCCAGCACTTTGGGAGGCTGAGGCGGGCAGATCACCTGAGGTCAGAAATTCGAGATCAGCCTGCCAACGTGGAGAAACTCTGTCTCTACTAAAAATACAAAATTAGCCAGGTGTGGTGGTGCATGCCTGTAATCCCAGCTACTCGGGAGCCCGAGGCAGGAGAATAGCTTGAGCCTGGGAAGCAGAGGTTACAGTGATCCAAGATCACGCATTGCACTCCAGCCTGGGCAACAAGAGTGAAACTCCACCTCAAAAAAAAAAAAAAAAAAAATCAAAAAACAACAAATGCTGGTGGGGTTGTGGAGAACACGTATACACTGTTGGTTGGAGTATAAATTAGTTCAACCATTGTGGAAAGCATATGGTGATTCCTCAGAGAGCTGAAAAGCAGAACTACCATTCAACCCAGGAATCCCATTACTGGGTATATAGCCACAGTAATATAAATCATTCCACCATAAAGACACATGAACGTTCACCGCAGCAGTATTTGCAATAGCAAAGATAAGGAATCAACCTAAATGCCCAGCAATGGTAAACTGAAAAAAAAAAATGTGGTACATATACACCATGGAATACTGTGTAGCCGTCAAAAAAGAACAAGATGTCTTATGCAGGAACAGGAATGGAGCTGGAAGTTATTATCCTGAGCAAATCAATATAGGAAAAGAAAACCAAACATTGCATGTTCTCACTTGTAAGTGGGAGCTAAATGATGAGAACACCTGAACACAAAGACGTGAACAACAGACACCTGGGTCTATTTGAGAGCGGAAGGTGGGAGGAGGGAAAGGAGCAGAAAAGCAAAATGCCTGGGTGATGAAATAATCTGTACGACAAACCCCTATGGCACAAGTTTACCTGTATAATAAATCTTCACCGGTAGCCCCGAACCTAAACATCAAAAAATTTTAGAAACTCCCAAAACATGTTATATATATTTTTAAGGTTTCACGAGATTTTTATTTGTACTGGGTAGGTTACAATACTCTCTCAAAAAAAAGAAGTCATGTGAAGTTATGAAACTACACACTTCGTTGTCTACTAGCTAAAATCTGTGAATGATCTAAAATCAAGAGACACTGGGTAGTAGAGCTGAAGCAGAAGTCATCTGTAACAAGCCAGATATAAGGTGTCTTGGGTGTAACTGATTTTTCAAACATTAATTTCACAATCCACCAACTACAATTGTGAGTCCAACCAGGGAAGAGAAGGTAATAATGTTTCTTTTTATTTTTTTTTTAAGAAGATGTCTCACTATGTTGTTCAACTCCTAGGCTCAATCAATCCTCCCACTTCAGCCTTCCCAAATACTGGGTTTACAGGCGTGAGCTACCATGCTTGGCCAGGTAATGAGGTTTCTAAACATAGGAGCTCAAACATTAGGGACCATAACAACCTAACCCTGTGCCTGCATGTGTGTGCACACGCATATGTGTGTTCAGTAATATTCTTAAATTGGTTTTTTTTTTTTTGAGATGGAGTCTCGCTCTGTCATCCAGGCTGAAGTGCAGTAGTGCCATCTCGGCTTACTGCAACCTCCACCTCCTGAGCTTAAGACATCCTCCAACCTCAGCCTCCCGAGTAGCTGGGACTACAGGCATGTGCCACCACTCCTGGCTAGTTGTTTTGTATTTCTAGTAGACACAGAGATTTGTCATGTTGCCCAGGCTGGTCTTGAACTCCTATGCTCAAGCAATCCTGCAGTCTTGACCTCCCAAAGCAGTGGCATTATCAGCATCAGCCTCTGTACCTGGACTTTTTTTTTTTTTTTGAGAGAAAAAAACAAGTATGTCACATTTCATTTTATCTGCTCTCAAATTTATAGAGACCCATGTGTTGAAGACCATGCCTGGGCAGCAGAAAATGAGACAGCACTGCAGGCTCCTGCCCCAGAGTGCCCTTCTGATCGCTGTGAAAGAGGAAGCTGGAACAGGAGCCTCTGCTGGCAAAGACGCTCTGTGTACAGTGCTCACCCCTGCAAGATTCACTCAACCTCAATAAAGATCCTGTGCCCATCCCAGACACCCTTACTAAATAAATAGACACCCCAGCCACACCAGACCCATCTCCCTCCCGTCCCATCATCAACTCCACACCAGGGAACAAAGGAGGTTCAGATCCAGCTCCATCACCTTCCTCCAAGATCCACAGATAACCTTTCAAAATGAAGGTTCACATGCACATGTCAATGCACAGGGTGTCCCTGATTTGATCAAGATCACGGAGTATCCTCAGAAAAGTGTGGCAATTACGAAAAAAAAAGAGGTCAAATAATAAATTTTATGTAACAAATCTGAGTGAATTTTGTGCTGAATAACCGAAAGGTGGAGGTCACATAAAGTCAAGAGTGAATGTTAACAATGCTAGTTCAATTTCAGTACTGCCTAGGAGACCCTTCCCTAGACCAAGAAGACTCCATTTGGTATGGTGGGGGTAGGGGTATCATTTGTTTACTTAGCAACTATTTAGACTCCACTAGGTCCCAGAGTTCTGGGCTCTCGGGACACATCAGCAAAGCAGAGACAAAGCTCTCTGCTGACACATGTGCCCATTCTAGCGGAGGGAGAGAAACAACCAATATAAGGATGATGAGCAAACCTATGAGCAGGGATGTTGACGTCTGCTCAGCAATATGAGAAGAAGTTAAGTGAGGTGTGTGGGGTCTGCCATGTCTTCCTGCCAGGCTAAACTAAATAGGAGTCATGATAGACTTCATGAAAAAGGTAATAAATGAGCAAAAATGGAAGGGCACGGGGAAGTTAGCCAAGTGGATTTGAAGGATGTCAGGAGTCAGCCACATGAACATCTGGGGAAGAGCTCTGAGGACAGAGGAAATCACGGGTACAGAGGTCCTGAGGCAGAAGCACTCATCTGACACATGTGCAGAGCAGCAAGGAGGCCAGGGTAGCTATGCCGGGTATGCCAGGGGAGGAGAGTAAGAGAAAAGAGGAGAGGCCACACAGGTCCATGAGGAGTGCGGGGCTGGGAGGAAGCAATTCAGTGGAGCCATGAAGGCTCTGCATAGCTCCAGCTGCTCTGAGTGAAAGGGGTACTAACGAAAGGCTGTGAGCAGCGGAGAAACAGAATATGATACAATGCTTAGAAGGCTAACTCTGGCTACTCCGTGATGGGGGAGCAGGGGGTAGAAGCAGGGAGATGAGTGCGGAGGATCCTGCAGCAATCAAGCGGGAGCTGGAGACAAGGTGGTGAGTTATGCTGAGACTTGGGAGCAGGAAGGAAAGCGCCACAAAAATCGCTCAAAGGTTGGATGTAGAGAAAGGGAAAAGGCGAGGAAGCCTGTAGTGCAGAGGGGAACACTGGGTGGGGACAGGGCGTCTGAGTTGAGAAGCCAGCCTCAGACTGCTGGGTTAGAGATGACTGCTGGACAAAGTTGAGAGGTCAGCAGGCAGGTAGATACAGGAATCTGGCATCTGGAGATAGGTCTGGGCTGCAGTCAGATTTGTGAGTCACTGGCATACAGATGACACTTAAAGCTGTGATGCTGAGTGTGTGGAGAGGTCACCTCTTAGGCCTTCCTCACTGGGCCTTAGGGTACTAAATAACACAGCTGAAGGTTCTTTTGGCAATGCCAATGGTCTGACATGAATCAGAATGGAAACAACGAGTGATCTCTGTAAATCTTAACCAGCTCTCATGTCTTATATGTCCCCCCCAGGAGAACAGCCCATCTACTTAGCCAGCTAGACCCTGAAAGTGTCCATGCAAGGCCTTCTACAATCACTCAAACTGAGGAGGAGAGAGTTCTTGGAGTCAACGTATCTGCCTGCTTCACATCTGAGGAAGTGTGCTCACGGCTTACCTTCTCAATGTCTACAAGTTCAGTCTCATAGATCTCTGCAATAGTAATGTGGTGCTTGGCTGCAATTGTAAACCTTCCCTAGGGGAAAAAACAAGAACGGGTCACACACCCATTTTAGCTATCTGAATGCCAGTTTGGGAACGTAAAAAAGAAAGATACAACCCTAAGCCATCTCGATTCCACCCCACAGCCGCTCAAGCAATGCAACGTCTTACCATGTCTGTGTAAATGTCGATGGCGGCATTTAAGCAGTTGATAGCCTCTGAAGCGTAGGCATTTAAGAAAAACAATGAAAAATCCATTCAGTCAAAGCGCGTTCAGGTGAGGCTGTCTTCTCGGCTGTTATTAGAAGGTTAATGAGGTATAATTTTGGAGTGGAGGGTGGGCAGGTTAGTTAGTGAGAAGCAAACAAAAAGCATGCACAAGTTCAGATTCATCAGCATGGCTTCGTTCCCAGCAGCTACAGTGTAATTTAGGGAACTGTAGCTGGAGTAATGGTGACTTAGTGACTTTGAACCTTAAAGTGAGGACTCCATCCAGGTGAAAGACTGTATTTATAAAAGAAAACAAAACCACGGAGGTTGTCACCAACACTTATAAATTTGATCTGCCAAAATACAAATGCAAACATATTCTTCATTAATATCATGCACATATACTAATTCTGGAACATGGCATCACATCACAAGAACGATCGCCTCAACAGATCATACTGTCCATGCAGCCAAAAGCAAAAGCACTTTGAAATGCCTATTCGAACAACTCTTAGGCAAAGCCAACATGTTCAAAGATGCTAAATTTTAGTATACTAACAAAACAAATCTAATAAAGAATAATGCTAATAGATTACACTAATTTTCTAAATATCATAAAATGATGATGTTATAATGCTGGCGTAGAGTGACAGCTCCAAGTCTACTGCTTTTTGTTTACGAGTCAGCAAAGTAGGAAGGCCTGACCATGGAATTAGAAAGGTAAGCAGATGAACAAAAATTGAAACCATTTCCCTCTAAACTATATAAAAAATGTGGATCCGTTATACCTTTAAAAATACAGAATATACTGTTCAGGCGCGGTGGCTCATGCCTGTAATCCCAGCACTTTGGGAGGCCGAGGCAGGTGGATCACGAGGTCAAGAGATCGAGACCATCCTGGTCAACATGGTGAAACCCTGTCTCTACTAAAAACACAAAAAATTAGCTGGGCATGGTGGCACGTGCCTGTAATCCCAGCTACTCAGGAGGCTGAGGCAGGAGAATTGCCTGAACCCAGGAGGAGGAGGTTGCGGTGAGCCGAGATCGCGCCATTGCACTCCAGCCTGGATAAAAAGAGCAAAACTCCGTCTCATAAAAAAAAAAAAAATACAGAATATAAAGAGAAAAATAACCTATCTATAATCCCACTCAAATCCACTGCTAGTACTCAGATGTACTTTTCCTTGGTGTTTATTAGATACATTTCTATGTGTACAAACTTTTTTCTGAAAATGAGATTATACAACATTCATTTCATGTGCTTCTTTAATTGCCATGTAAACATTTAACAGGTCACTGAAGAGTCTCTGAAACCAGAGATTTTAATGCCTGCACCATATTCAAAAGTACTGATACATCATAATTTTACCACTCTGACAGCTCATTTAACCTGTGTCCAGTTTTTCACTTTGGGAAATAAACTCTGATTAATCTTTATACAAAAGGTCTTGAAGATACCCTATTTCTTTATGACATATTTATTCTCAAAATTTGGGATTTGTGTGTTAAACAAAATGGACTGCTAAAAGAAAAATGGAAAAATTCAAAAGTTCCCTCTGTGCACATGTATAGAAGAGAAGAAATTAATACTTTTAATTAACACCTTTAATTACACTCTTCTAACTAAAAAGAAATAACCTCTGCAAAATTTTACCACATTAAATATCCAACTGCATTCTTTCCTCAAAACAATACTTTGAAAAACACATCTTAAAAAACCAAAGGGATACCACATGAAGAAGACGTTTTTAGTGATTGGCTATTGCAACTCCCCTTGACTGGATCTGGAAACTCATTCAGTGTTTAGGAGAACGGGAACATAAGAGTTTTTTTTCATGATCAATATACGTTATCACAAAATTAAAATATAAGAAGTCTTAGGTAAAAGTAAAGGTAATTTCCAAAAATTATCTAAAATGCAGTATAAATGGAGTTTAATTAAATGACGCTATGAACTAAACAGCCAGTATAAATTTAACATATTTTCTCCTCATAAAAACTCCTAAATGATTAAAAGACATCCCTAAGGTTATCAAAATGTCTCCATTATTCGAAAACACAAAAATTCCTTTTTACCAGGACTCGAATGGACACCAACACTGACCTTAACGTTGAGGGAAGCACTGACTGGTTAGTTATACACAGAGACAGACACGCTATGCGCTTAGCTGGCTTACCTTGGGGATCCGCCTTTTTGTAAGCATTTCCAGCGTCCACAAAGCTGGTTGCGGAGTCATGTTTGCTCTGAAGCTGCATGTGGAGCTTGGCTGCCTGACAAAATGCGTTTCCTGCAGCTGAAGAAGACACTACAATTAAAATACAGAGGAACAAATCCCCCCACGGAGCAGCCCATGCTCTAAGTACTGGGCCTCCCTAGAAAAGTTACATTCCACTGAAGCAGCATTCCAATCAGAAGCAAAAATCACTGTGGCCCAGTGCATCTTAAGCAAATATCAAAATAACCAGAATCAAGTCAGACAGCAATGAAAGCTTCTCCACCTCTGCCCCAGCAAACTTTCCAAGTGACCCTGGGCACTAGGCCACCATTCCCTGGTCTGGCCATTCAATACCAATAGCCAAGTCTTAGGCTACTCCATTTGATTCCACAAACATACAATCAACACTAACCAAGGGCTTCAAGCCACAAATGATTAAAGAAAGATAGAACAGTGAGCTCAAGGATTATTTGTTCACTTTTCTTAGTGTCTACTGGACTTAGCTGTCAGCATGAAAGAAACTGCTAATAATGGCTTGATGGATAAAGTCAGCTTCCTAAAGAGCCAAAATCAGGCCCACAATTTTGAGATCCAAAAGTCTAAAAATCCCAAATTTTTTCTTTAGTTTATAGTAAAATCTGACTGAAATTTATAAGAGGTTTAATCTATTTTACCCCATTTAACATGAGAATTTATACATTTCCCTGCAGAATCACCGATGGATCTGGTTGTGGGATACTGGCCAAGTCTCCAACTGGGGACATGGCACAATGTATAAGGTACATTAACTAATCGTTTTCAGAAAAGATTTTGAATCAGGGACCATGGGTTCTGGAGTGCTGAAAAAGAAAGAAGGAGGGAATCACTGGCAGAGGAATCACATGAACACAGAAGAAATGCTTGAAGGTAAGAAAGGGATGAAAGTGGAGGCCGCTGACAAGCCTGTCCTGACTGGAGGAGGGCAGTGGAAATCAAGGCTGAAGCTGCATCAGGCCACTTCCAAGAGGGTTTAAACATCAACATGCATAAATTCCTGAGTTCAGAGAAAGCAACATGGAGGAGTGCCTCCGAAAAATGAGTCACACTGGGGAAGTCAGTACAGTAGAAATGGAGAAGAAAGAATCTGCTCTACCAGGAAAAGCATGGTTAAGAATATCACAAAGCCTTTAGATTTCTAAAAAAATTAATCATAAAGCAGTACTCACTGCTGATATTAAACCTTTGTTTTGTGATTTAAATTTCTTTGTGAGAAAAAAAGTCCAATTCTTTTTTTTGAGACAGGGTCTCACTGTCACCCAGGCTGCAGTGCAGTGGCAGGATCACAGCTCGCTACAACCTCCACTTCCTAGGATCAAGAGATCCTTCTGCCTCAGCCTCCGAAGTAGCTGGGACCACAAGCATGTGCCACCACATCTGGCTATTTTTTATTTTTAATTTTTTTTGTAGAGATGGACTCTCACTATGTTGTCCAGGCTGCTCTTGAACTTCTGGGCTCAAGTGATCCTCCAGCCTTGGCCTCCCAAAGTGCTGGGATTACAGGTGTGAGCCACCGCACCGGGCCATAAACAGCCAATTCTGCTAAAGCTTCAGTTGCATCTCTTGTCCCACTCGCTCTCCCCAGAGAACATGCTTAATTCTCACATGGGTTTCTGAACCTGAGGGCAAAGGGACAGTACGAACTCTGGAGCCGACCTGCCCAGGTTCTTGCTCTGTACCTCAGTTTCTGATCAACAGAATACCCAAGGCAACTGTGAAATATATGTAACCGCCAGCATGACATGGGTACTGCTATGATCTGTATGGTGGCATCCCGCCAAAATGTGTATTACCGGAGCCTGATATCCAATTAGACAGTATGAAGAGATGGGTCTTTGGAGAAGTGAGGAAGTCATGAGAGCTCCACCCTCACAAATGGGATGAGTGCCCTTATAAAAGAGGTGGAAGAGAGCTGCCTTGCCCCTTCCACACAGCAAGAAGGCGCCTTCGTGGAAGCTGAGAGCAGTCCTCACCAAACACAGAATCTGCTGGCACTTTGATCTTAAACTACCCAGCCTCCAGAACTCTAAACAATACATTTATTCTCTTTATAAATTACCCTGTCTAAGGTATTTTGTTATAGCAGTAGGAAGAAACCAAGGCACTGAACAATCTAGAGGAGATGCTGGCCACAGGGCTAGAGCTGGAACTAAAGCTCTGCTGGCCCCTGGTGAATCATGAGAGGCTTGGGGGCATCCAGGAGGGGCAAAGGCCACTGCCAGGGCACTGGGCAGGCACCTGGGGTACTAGGGGCAGCACTTAACGATGAAGTGGCAGCTCAGGAACATACTTCCTAAGTGGGAGCTTTGATGGGCTCTGCGTCGGAAGAATGTAGCAATAGCTTGGACTTGGCATGTAAAGTGCTAACAGAGGGGCCTGACTCACATTCTACACAGCGGCCACGTTCATTATTATATGCAAAGCTAGCCTTAGGTCGTATCTGTGGTTTGGCATATTTAAATGCCATCAGTTTTTTATAACCTACATCCTTATTCTCCTGCTGGCATTTCATTTTTGGCACCTTGTCTGTGTTTCTTGACCCAGAATCAGTCATGGTCCATCCTATTCTTGCTCAATAATACCACAATACCTAGGCTCTTCTGGGCTCCCTCCATTTCTTCAGATAACAGTAAGGGCTTTAATTTTACATTTTCACGTTCCCACATTCCAAAAAAAGTTGCTGGCTTACTTTGTCACTCTGAGTACTCATTCCAATCGCTGATAGCAAATGCTAGCTTGGAGTTTCTAAACTTGAAGTGTCTTTAAAGCAGCATAAATTAAATTAAATGGCCTCTGGGAAGCCACACAACTTAGGCTAAATTTGCCCCGCAAAACTGGTATAATACCTGTCATGATGATCTCTCAAAAGCTGAGTATCAAACAAATTAGCTTAATCATTATAAAAGAACTTTAAAACTACAAAGAGATGCAATGCTGTTAAATCATCACCAATGCAATATGGATAGAACTTCAAAGAGTCTAATACTCATTCACTCAACAAATATACTGAGTGCCTATGACTTTGCAGGTAATAATTTAGGTCCTAGAGATACAGCAGAGATGAAACAAACATCCTAGCCTTCCAAAGTTTACATTTTAATGAGAATCACCATATAATAAAAACATGTAAATATAAATGAATAAAACATTATGTAATTTATTTTTGCTAGATGGTGATAAGAGTGTTTGAGGAAAAAAAAAAAGTGTTTCCAGGAAGGAGATTGTTAATTTTTAAAAGGGTGGCCAGAGAAGACCTCAACAAGAAGATGGCATGTGAAGAGGGAACTAAAGGAGGCAGGGACCCAGCAACATTCTGTTTGGGGGAAGAGTAGGGAGACAGAGGGAACAGTGCATGCAAAGGCTCTGAGGTGGGAGCTGGGTGTACAAGGAAGGTGATAGTCTTTGAGAGCCGCTATAGGGATGTCAGCTGTTATTTAGAATGATATGACCTTACTTGTGTTATGTTACTTCATTAACACATTTATGCCTAGTGTTCCATTATTGGAACGCTAAGCATGTGGGAGTTATTCATATCCTACCCTACTGCTCAAGATCATTGCCAAGGTCTGATTTCCAAAATTCAAAAAATTGCAACCTCAGGCATAAATGGAAACAGACTGGAAAAGTGCAGAAATATGGCAATGTGAGGAGGCTAGAGCATCACCCCAGGTAACAGATGATGGGGGGCGGGGGGTTTCTACACACAAAGCCTCCGTAGTTACATACGTGATCAGTGGCCTCTCTGAAGTGGAATTTTCCAAAGGTTAGAATATCTGATCACCAAATACACTAAGTAATTAGCGGTCTCCACTGGGCATGGTGGCTCATATCTGTAATCCCAGAACTTTGGGAGGCTGAGGTGGGCGGATCGCCTGAGCTCAAGAGTTCAAAATCACCCTGGGCAACATGGTGAAACCCCATCTCTACTAAAACATAAAAAATTAGCTGGGCATGGTGGCGCACACCTGTAGCTCCAGCTACTCGGGAGGCTGAGGCACAAAAATCGCTTGAACCCAGAGGCGGAGGTTGCGGTGAGTCCAAATCGCACCACTGTACTCCAGTTTGGGCTACAGAGTGAGACTCTGCGTCAAAATAAATACATAAATAAATAAATAAGTAGTCTCTTCAGGTAAGATCACTTTCTGCTTATGATTACAAGACCTGAACAAAACCCAAGTTGGAATGTGAAACAAACCATTTTCTCCTCCATTTTAAAGATACAATTCAGGCCTAAGTATGTTTGAAAAATAGCCTATCCCTTTATACTAAAGCCTTAGCTAAAACTGAACTTCTTATTAAGATCTTTAAAGTCAGAAGAGATCTTTTAGATTCATCTAACTCAAATGCATTTTCTCCTTTGAAATGATTTTAAAGTGTCTGCCTTGAAACAGCTTGTAGAGGGCAAGAGTCCCACTTCCATTCCCACAGCAGCTGTGAGCAGAATTCTACACCTACATCCCCTGCTCTGGTCAAAGGTGGTCTCCATTTCACTATAGAAATAGACCATTACTGAGCCATGAAAGATCTCTTTTGCTGAAGGGAGATGATTTCTCTGAGAGAGCCATCCCTTCTCAGACCAATGACAATAAACATCCTATGAATTTTATTATGCCCGGACTCACCAGGTAGAAAGCTTACTTTAAAAAATAACCATGAGTCTGTTGAGGTTGATGATTTTAACCTCACTCTAACCCCCCACTCTGACCCCCAACTGCCATAGTTCTCAGTGGAATTATAATCAGTTATCGAAGAGCAGGGAATGGTCATTCTGAACCAATGTTCAGGTAAAGAAAACCAGGCATTTCTCTTTATCTCACTAGTTTTAATGACTTTTATTCCAACTTGCATTCCCTATAGCGCTGTATTTATTTGAGCATATTAGTAAGAAGCAAAGATTACTCTAAGTCTAAGTAATTTTTAACTATTTTTAGTTACCACATGCCTACTATATTAAGAAGCGCATGGAACTAAGACAGACACTGTCCCTGTGACTGTACTTAAGCCAGACTCTCAAGCCTCCTTCACGTGGACACACTCCTTCAGTCTCCATGTCAGCAGCAGCCACACCAGTCATTCAGCACTGAGGCCTGTCTCTGTGGCCAACAGTCTTGCTCTTTAAGGTGAAAACAGTCATTTCTTCCCTCAAAGTGTTTTTAAACCATTTGCCTAAAAAACAAACAAAAACTTTGTACGTACCACTCCAATTTTTAGCCATCTTGAACATATTTGCAGCTCTGGTATACATTTCACAAGCCTCTTCTATTCTTGTGTTTCCTCTGAGAAAAATTTAAAAATTAGGTTACATTTTAATGACCATCCACATCTCTAATCCTCCCTCCCGCAAATGATAAACATTTAGTACCTACCCGTTATGTGCCACACAGCATTACAGAATCTTAACCTCTGTTTAAAGGAGATACTTTTACTATCCTTATTTTCCAGATGAGGAAACTGGGGTGTTAAGTGGTAAAGTAACGAGCCCAAGGTATCACAGAAAGGATAGTTCAGAATTAAGACAAACACAGGGCCTGGGGTGGTGGCTCATGCCTGTAATCTCAGAACTTTGGGAGGCAAAGGTGGGTGGATCACCCAAGGTCAGGGGGTGATGAAACCCCATTCTCTACTACAAATACAAAAGCTAGCTGGGCGTGGTGGCATGAGCCTGTAGTCCCAGCTACTCAGGAGGCTGAGGCAGGAGAATCACTTGAACCTGGGAGGCAGAGGTTGCAGTGAGCAGAGACTGCACCATTGCACTCCAACCTGGGCAACAAGAGTGAAACTATAACTAAAAGAAAAAAAAAAAGACTCGAACTCAGATATGGCTGACCCCAGAACCAGAGGGGTTACAGACTAAAGATGTTATCCTGATTACGTCTTTGATCAGAGTCCTTCCCATCTATTAAAGCTGGAAGTTTTATACCAGTCTGAGTAGTTAAAAGTATGTTTTGCAAAGGAGATAAATTTTGAAGGATAAAGACATCTTTACCCTGTTATCTCCCAAGAGTTCAGCACTATGTTTATTCAGAAGCCACATGGTATGAGAAGGCGGCATGCTGTTCTACAGCTGTATTATGTCAGCTCTGGTAAGGGCAATAGTTCCACCACATGGAAGAGGCCTCGGGGCCCAGCCCGGTACAGAAATGCATTTGACAACACCCTGAGAAAAGGGCTCAGTTCTGGGAAGTTCTTCACCAACCAACTGATTCCACTGAGGGACGGCTTCAAGCTACTTGGAAATTTCTTCTCACACAAAAGTCAAAATTATCCTCCATAATCCTCCCAGAGTTTTCTAATTCTACTTTGCTTTTACTATGCTAAGGCCCCACCATGAAAGATGTTTATCTATCTTGTCTATATGTAATCATAAAATATCCAGTGGAAAACTGAGATGCAGTAAACTCTGTACAGTACACATAACAAGGAACTCTGTGGGGTACGGACACAGGACTCACAGACAGGAGAGGTCAAGGCTGACACTGCATGCTGGCCTGGTATGAACACACGTACATGAAACAGTGCACACACATGTGCCAGGAACTCCAATAAGCTCCAAGCTCCAGGAGAGGAGCTTGCTGCTCTGTGTCAACACAAATCCTACTACAGACCAGAGGCTAGGCACACAGCAAGGCTCAGGTGTGACTCAGACCTTAGGCAATAACAGTTTGGCCCTGGACTAGTTCTCTGACTCCTTCACACCTCAGTTTTGGCATCTGTAAACTGAATATATATACCTAGGAGTTATTATGAGGATCAAAAGAATAATCCACATATAGCTGCCACTGCAGAGCTTCACTCAGAGTAGGTACTCGAACAGAATGGTTATCATAACCAGATCCATGTATGGAAGGCATAAAAACCTCTGGCAATATTACATCATATGTCTCGTAAGGAACGTGTATCTGGAATAAATGCAAATCAAAACCACATATGTGATATCGCATAGCTCATGCTAGGATGGCTAGGACAGGCTACTGTCTGTCAAAAGACAGACGATAACAAGAGTCAGGGAGGATGTGGAGAAACCTTATATATGACCGGCAGGAATACAGAGGAAAGTCAGTTTGGAAAATGGGTTGCCAGTTGCCAAAAAGGTTAAACCTAAAGTTACCATATAACCTGGCAATTCCATTCCTAGGTACACACCCAAGAGAAACGAAAACACATCCTGGCAGGGCGAGGAGGCTCACGCCTGTAACCCTAGCACTTTGGGAGGCTGAGGCAGGCGGATCACCTGAAGTCAGGAGTCTGAGATCAGCCCGGACAACATAGCAAAACCCCACCTCCACTAAAAATACAAAAAAAATTAGCCAGGCATGGTGGTGCATGCCTGAAGTCCCAGTAGTCCCAGCTACTTGGGGTGGGGGGACTGAGGCTGCAGTAATCTGAGATCACACCAGTGCACTCTAGGCGACAGATTGAGACTTCGTCTCAAAAAAAAAAAAAAAAAGAAAACACATCTCCACACAAAAACTTGTATACAAATGTTCATAAAAGCAGTAATTATCATAGCTAAAAAGTGGGCTAGACGCAGTGGCTCAAGTCTGTAATCCCAATATTTTGAGGGCAGGAATTCAAGACCAGCCTGGCCAACTTGGCAAAATCCCATCTCTACTAAAAACACAAAAATTAGCTGGGCATGGTGGCAGGCACCTGTAGTCCCAGCTACTTGGGAGGCTGAGGCAGGAGAATCACTTTAACTCAGGAGGCGGAGGTTGCAGTGAGCCGAGATAGTGCCACTGCACTCCAGCCTGGGCAACAGAGCAAGACTCTGTCTCAAAAAAAAAAAAAAGCTAAAGAGTACAAACAACAACCCAAAAGTCCATCAGCTGGTTAACAGATAAATAAATAAAATGTGGTATACACATACAATGGAATATTAACAGACAACAAAAATAAATGAAGTAGCAACACTTGCTACACTGCAGCTGAGAAGCCACAATGAGATACTGTTTATATGACAGGTCTACAGTAGGCAAATTTTTAGAGACAGAAAACAGGCTAGTGGTTGATAGTGCTATGGTCTGAATGTTTTCGTCCCCTCCAAAACTGAGTTAAAATGTAATCCCCAATGCAACAGTGTTGGGAGGTAGGGCCTACCGGGAGGTGTTTAGGTCATGAGTGCTCTGCTCCCATGAATCTACTACGGCCCCTAATAGAAGAGCTTGTGAAAGGGACTTCCATTCCCTCTGGTTCTCTCTTCCACCATGTGAAGACAAGGCAAGTAGACCCTCACCAGATACCAGACACTGGTGCTTTGGTCTTAGACTTTCTAGCCTCCAAAGCTGTGAGAAGTACATTTCTGTTCTGTATAAATTACCAGGCCAAGGTACTGTGTTACAGCACCACAAAGCAGGCAAAGACACTTAGAGGTGCGAGTGCTGGAGAAAAACGTGGAGGTGAGGGAAATGACAGCTACACGGTACAGCGTTTCTTTTTGGGTTGATGAAGATGATCTAAAACTGCTGTGGTTGCACAGCCCTGTGAATATGCTAAAACCTCTGCATTGTGTATTTTAAATGGGTGAATTGTATGGTATGTGTATTAAATCTCAATAAGCTTCCTCCCCAACACACACACACGCAGATCAAAAAACAAACAAAAACCTTTGGGGACTACGATACACAGTGAAAGATGGAAATGGCAACAAGCCATACCAAAAATCAAGTGTCAGAATAAGCTAAAGCTCTCTCTCACACCGTCATGTCTCTTTCTCTCCACTTCAAATCCACGCATTATAAAAAAATAGCTAATAAGTTCCCTAAATGGAAAATCCTGACATGAAAACATTCTCAAACTTAGCCATACCTCCGTTGAAACAAAGTCTTGCTACTTTCTGGGTCTTGTTTTTCTACAGAGTACTGGGAATCTCGAACTGTAATTACAGTGCAATCATTCTTATTAACGGTTTCTAAATAAAACTAGCTTAATTAAAATGTACTTTATCCACTTATTTTCAGAGACAGATAGAGCTAGAATTCACAGAGCTCCTACATTATTCTAGGTTTTATGCTAGATATTCCCATATATGTTATTACAACCATGAAAGACGCTATCTCCATTTTACAGACTAGAAAACGGTATCTAGAGGTCAATGGCTTATCCAAGGCTGCCCAGCCAAGGTCAGCAGTGTACCCAATACTTGACTTCAAGTTCAGTGATCTTTGAACCTTGCTAAACTGTAAGAGTCTCATCTCTCCTGAAACAGAATCTCCAGAGGTAGTCTCACTTTAAAAACTTACTTGTCATAAACCGACCATAACCTTGAAACTTCATGAAAAAAATATACTTTTGAAAGTATCCCAGATGCTTATATTATATGAAGGTTAATTTTTACAAATTTTATTGACAAGTTTTCAGAATTTAATTCAAAGTAACTCAACTGTCATCCAGAGGCCCCACAGTGAAGCAGAAGATCCCTGGAAACAGTATTTTGTGAGGAATCCACATTACACAGCAACCTGAGTACATGGCACTCAGTTGATATGAAGAAGCTAAACTGAATTAAATATACTATTTTTTTTTATTACAGGAATCTGATTTGGAAGAAGAAAACACTTTCGTCACCATGAAAGAAACTGCCTAGCTAGCACGAAAACCACTGCCACCTGGCTGACCCAGCTGAACCACCTACCCTGCATTCCAGAGGCAAGGCAGACTCTCTTCTTCTCGACCATAATTATTCAGGAAATCTTTACTGAGATCCACGCATTCCAGAAAACACTAGGAAAGAAACTTCTCGCCCACAAAGAGGTCACAACATTGAAGAAAGAAGATCCAGCTTCACGGCGAGAAGGGTCTGAGAAGAAGCCTATCCACTCCCATGTTCCCCCAAAGAAACATGGTCAAAGCCACAAATGTCCCACCAGGAGCCAGGGAACAGCAAAGCCATGAAAACCAACTCATCTTCAAATAACTACAATCTAGATTTTCCCCCGCCCTGAATAACAACCATTTCAGAGCACTGTGAAACTCTGACAACTATAGTCCGTACTATTTCCAAACTGTGGGTGGGAGGAGGGAGACATCGTAGAATTCTAAGAACTAATGACAGACATCCTGAGACATATCTGATGGGAAAAGGTGACAACTCCTGAGGCAGAAATAAAGTTGCCTCTAAAATCACAAGATATTAGGGTAGAAATACCACAAAAAGTAACAGTGACAATACTATAAAGATAAGCACGCAGACTCAGAGGCAAAATTCAGCTCTAACATCAGGATGCCATGAAGGGGTGTGTCAAGCCACCTCAAAAAACTGAAAAGGGACTTGCTCAGG